TTCTGAACAACAAAAATATTTATTTTTTTTGTCCAGGTTTGGTTCGGTTAATAGATTCTAACGCTATTACAGACATATTGTATTACACTCGTCAAACTTCAATCTATTTCCTTTTTAACGGCTCTGTCACATTTGCACGTATTTAGGATTCCATCATCCTGCCTTCATTTACTACTTGAAGCTATCAACCAACATGGCATTTGTGCGAACAATAACTATGCATATAAAACTATTTAAAGTTATTTTCAGTATTTGCTAAAGATAAATTTGCTGTACATATTGAAGCGTCGTCGATCTAGTTGGATAACTTCCAACTTCTTAACATATTCGATGTGTGAAAGTACAATTATGAACCTTAAACACACAAATCATATTTCAAAGCATTTCTACGAAACTAGTATATATTGCTGTTGATGAATTCAGTATTTTGTGTTACAAATGCAACATATGTTCAACATTCTAATGTTTCTTTGGAAATATTCTTGGTGATGTTCTCTAAATGTGTTGGTTCCTGATGATTTTGGCTATTCTGATTGTGTACTAATTGGTCTTGCAATACAGTTAATTTCTCCTTTTCAGCAATACACAATTATTTTGTTCTTAAAAGTTAAAGGTTCGTTCAGTAAGCAACAATTCTTTTTATTTGATCCTATTTTGGGCGGCAGGAAAAAGTATTTTTCGAAAGACTGATTTTTGGAGAATTTTTTTTTTCTGTTGCTAAAGAAAAAAAATGAATTATGTCGCAAATTGTTTAAGGCTAAGCCATAGAATTATTGGAGTATTTAGTTAGACGATTGTACCAAAACCACACAACTGAATGCCACCGTTCAATACTGTTTTAGATACAGGAGAGGTAAACAAGGAAACGAACTACATCATACAGTTGTTTCGTCTCTGTATGAATCATCAGCAATGCTAAGGGCCTCAGAGGCAACTGAAAAATTAAAAATATCGACTGAAAAAATGTCAAAATTTAGATGTTGGTGTGTATTAGCCTCATAATTCGAAAACTTTCATATATATGGTAATTTTAAGAAAAACGACCATCAAGTACATATGCCAAACTTGAAATGATCGTGAGATGGTCTTGATCAAGTATTGATTTTTGTCGGGTCGGTCCAAAAATTAAGTTTGGCCTCCACCTTGAAAAAAAATTTAAAATTTTCTCAGTAATACGTGCGCAACTAAGATCAAATTTTGTGAGAATATGGCGATGTTGTTGATTGTGTTGCCTTAACTGCGAAATCTTATCAGAATTGTTTTAATCGTTTATTAACCGTTCTCGCCTTCACGACTGCTGTACCATTATTTATAGGTCTGTACAGTCGGATGACTGTTAAGGACCATGGGTCGCATGTTTCATTTTCATTCTCTGTATTTATTTGATAAGGTAATTAGGTATTACTTATAAAAACAACAATTTATCAATTCAGCATTTTTAGCAATTCAGACCAAATCAAACCAGGAGAGCCATACAGGTCATATAGACCTAATTGTTTTCATCTCCGGGAGAAGATTTTAGCTTTGAGAATGGCTAATCTTCAGCTTTTATCAACGTAAGATAAATATATATGAATCAGTAATTGGGCCTTATGACACCTATCAACAAATATCAATAAGGCTTTGATCTCCAGAGTTTGTGTTACTACAGAAATATAATCAGTAATTAAGTGATGAACACTGCCTACAGCTGGTAGTTTTGACAGGTTCGATGACGCACAATAACGTATAGATCCTAACTCATTGTTTTACTCTTGTAATCTTATATTTACTTGACACGATGTATGGCACATAATGAAAAATGATGCAAAAGCATAACAATAGAAATTAGCTGCAAAATAATAAACTTTAATTTATTTTACAACAATTGCAGTTTTATGTTAATCATTTTTGTTGGCTCATATGAAAGCGCATGAGAGGTCTTACTTTTGGAGAATCGGAGTACCCAGGGAAAACCTACGTGGTCGGGAAGGTGACCCCTTACCTTTTCCCCTCCATTCTGAGAATCGAACCCCGAACGGATAGGTGAAAGACGAGTGTGTTATCGCTGCGCCACCCGACCACAGAAGGCGTGTGAACGAAGGGAGGTAACTTGTAAATAAAATATGTCCAGGGCTTCAACTATACAGAAGTTGAGATCAAACGGCAACTGGGAACTTTCACCAATAGAAGTTCGTCGATACTGACATGATAAAACATGCTGTCATGTTTCTCGTACAAATATCTTTTAGCATACTTTGTTGTCCAAAGTGAATTTCTTCCAAATGACAACATAATCATGTATCAAATGCTGAAACCGTCATAAAATAAATGCCGGAATAAAATATTATATTATATTATATTATTATATTATATTATATTATTATATTATATTATTATTATTATATTATATTATATTATAAAATATTATATTATATTATTATATTATATTATATTATATTATTATATTATATTATTATTATTATATTATATTATAAAATATTATATTATATTATATTATATTATATTATATTATAAAATATTATATTATATTATATTATATTATATTATTATATTACATTATATTACATTATATTATATTATATTATAAAATATTATATTACATTATATTATATTATATTATATTATATTATATTATATTATATTATATTATATTATATTATATCATGACATTCTTAACGGCCCGTCAACACATAAAAGGTCATTAGGGCCATCAGCCGGTAAGTACATCTACTCTTAAAGGAAAAGAGCTGTCAAAATCAAGACAAATTGATATTGTAAGTTTAGCAAAAAATCATATTTAAACAAATATATGTAAGATTTAACAAACAGTCGTAAAAGAATGGCCTTACCAACAGAAAAAAGAGCAAACAATATGAAATCAAGGTAGATGTGAACTGTTAAAGCTCAGGGGAAAATGGATTTGGGAAGAACAGATATCAGGATATGTGCCAATTGCTTGAAACGGAAATGACGTTTTGTAAAAAAAAAACATCATTTAGGAGCACTTGTTTTCTTGTAGTCAAAAATCGAGGTAAGTGTCTGATTGAAGCTCTGTCCTTGACTTTTTATTCTGTACATGTTGCGTACACATGATCAACATTGTCAACATTTTTTTCAAATAATTGTTTAATTTCAGGATGATGTTCTAGTTCACCATTCACTGAATACAGTTTAATTATTTTAAGAGTCATGAGCCCAATCACGTTTAAACTGATAGAACAAACAAAGCTATATTTGCCTTAGCCTTGAGAACTGAGATTATTAGTTTCTGAGATATGATATTTGCTTCTTCAGCCTTACCTAGTTTTTTCTTTCTTCTATTTTCTTTCTGTTTTGGGTTTTTTTTTAAATTATTTTTTTAACATCCATGTCAACAAATCTAAATTCCCAACATGCTTTTATCACAAATTTACTCTTCCGAAATTGTCTTTAAAAGATTTTTTTAAAAATGGAATTGAAGCCGAACTAACTATTACAACTCCTCACAAAATTACAATGGATCTTATATATTTTGAGCTATAACGAACAAGTTATAAAAGGTGAGTACTACTTTTAAAGTTTATCAAAGTTCCACGTACATTGAAATATCGAAAACCAGACATGATATATCTAACTGGAAAATTTGAATCCATTGTTTCTTGTTTGTTCAGATCACAACTAACATTTTCTTTATGATTGATTCGGTCCTTTTCCCGGTGTTTAAAACACAGAAGGAAATTACAACTATCCAAATGTTCATCCTCCTGATGTTCAGTAAATTGTCGGTTATAATCGCAAATATTTACAAAATTTACAGACCGTTTTCTTTATAGTAAAGGGATGGTCGATAGTAAGACCTACATTTTCTATAACTGATTACTTAAGTCAAATCTTCATGGATGATTTTGCTCTCTAAAATACTCAGTTACACGATTTTTTTTATAGAACTTGGATGTTCATGAATTTAACGTTATCTGCTCCACGTAATTGACCGCTCATTCGGAGAACTGCCCTGAGTCATTACTTAAATATGATAGTCTCTTAATCTCTGTAAATACCAGAGAACAACGGTCATTCATTCAAATTACACAGACAAGTCAGGCATGGTATGATATTTCTAGATAGCAAACCGAAACATTATCCACAAACAAGTGTTAATGAGTATATGCCCATAAAAGGAAATAGTAAGTTTTACATCTCAGATTGGATGGTATTTTTTAATGTTATCTGTTAGAAAACTTGAAGTTGAATTTTCTTTTGCTCTTCCCTTAACTTTTTTTCAAAGTCCATCCAAATGCTGATAGTAAAACTGAGTTATGCATAAAATTTGGACCAAACTGCTCATTACTGCTCAAATAGTACTAGAGCTATCTATTCCGTTGGTGAACTGTTTGTTAATATGTAATGTACTAAAGGGAATTACGTTATAATAAGATTTTCATCAAAACTGTATCTTATAGTTCCGTAACGAGTTCAACGGTTTCTTAGTAGAGAGTTTCTATATAAACGTCCGAAAAGTGTTTTTTACAGATCTCTCGAAATCGTTTTATGTGATTTCATAACGAGTTCAAAGGTTATTTGAAGAAAGTGGTGACACACACACACACACACACACACACACACACCCTCACACACACACACACACACACACACACACACACACACATACATACATACATACATACATAGAGATTGTATGTTGTCTGTATATTATATGGAGACAGCAGAGTATTGGTACTTGTGCTTTTTTTTTTAAATGCATGGAGTTTGTGAATAAATATAAACAGTTATAAATTTTTATCACCGGTAATTAAGTAATTATTGAAGTGTGTTTGAATGTCATTTCAGTGTTTAGGTTACGTATTGATTTAAACACTTTAGATATATGCAAAATGTCAAACCCATTAATAGAGATGATCATGTCGACAAATATGTTATAGCATCGCATGGTAGCGAATACATTTAATTATTTACCAGAAATCCCATTGACAATCTAGGCTAACATCGTTCTTATTTCCACACAGCCTATAAAAACTGAGAGTAGTTACTGTTGTAAGCCTTATTCCCGCTCCAGCTAGATCCTGAGTCGATCATCATGGACGGTCCCCTGACAATGATGAGTATGTCTAAACATTTTTTTTTCATTTTTGTAAACAGAACTGTATATGAAATTGATTGCATTCAATGTTAAATAGTCTTCCTTAAGTATTGTCTTCCAAAAGTTACGTGATAAACTTGTGTGTGTGTCTTATTATTATTTTTTTTTATTTTTTTTTGTTTTGTTTTGTTTTTGTGGTTTTTTTTTTAAAAAAAATTATTGTTTTTGTTTGTTTGTTTTTGTTGGAGGGGGTCGCTTTTTTTCTTTTTTTTTTCTGTATTTTATCACTTTATCATTTTTGCGACTTTTTTTTATCCCACAGCACGGTCATTTATGTTAGCATTAACGGTGTCCACCGTAACAGGCTTATGGCATTCAAAAAGGGAGTCTTGGTCTGCGTTACCATTGCGACGAGAAACCCAACTGCTTGAATGTACATCTTACGTACAGTTACAGCAGATGGTGAAGAACAGTTTCAATGAACATCTGTGGAGTGCATTCGACCATATAGCTCAGACAGGAAAAGCTGTGACGTCGGATGGTTTACGTGTTTTTTCGAATCAGTTGTGTAGGTGAGTGTATGTTTTCTATTTCATTCCTTTCCATTTACTTTATTAGATTTATTCCTTTCCATTTACTTTATTAGATTTATTCCTTTTCATTACTTTATTAGATTTATTCCTTTCCATTTACTTTATTAGATTTATTCCTTTCCATTTACTTTATTAGATTTATTCCTTTCCATTTACTTTATTAGATTTATTCCTTTCCATTTACTTTATTAGATTTATTCCTTTCCATTTACTTTATTAGATTTATTCCTTTTCATTACTTTATTAGATTTATTCCTTTCCATTTACTTTATTAGATTTATTCCTTTTCATTACTTTATTAGATTTATTCCTTTCCATTTACTTTATTAGATTTATTCCTTTCCATTTACTTTATTAGATTTATTCCTTTTCATTACTTTATCAAATTTGACCTTTTTATTACTCAATGAAATTTAATTATTTCCATTAAGTCATCTTTTCGTTACTTAGTAACTTTTCCATCGCCACGCCACGCCACTAGTGAATTCATTAAGAAATTGATTTGTAAACATCAGTAAGATACCAGGATCAATTGTCGTATCATAAACTATTAGCGTTTATTTTGACAAGAAAAACCTGATAATGAAATAATTAAAGATAGTTATATATGCAACTAATAAGTAGTGATATGGGAATCAGCTAAAATCCGTAATCGATTATTGGTTACAATCGGATAGACTGTCTGATGTAGTTTATCGATTATATTATCTGCTATCTGTGTGTTCAATATTCATTGAAAATGTATGCATTCTTCATTAAAGTAATATTTTCTATTTTTGTACCTTTGAGCTAAAATACCTCATTTACCTAAAATTTGCTTAATACTAAATATCATTGGAAATTGGCATATTTATTATGCATTATATGAATTATGTTTTTGTTAAAAACACAAGAAAACATTGATGTACCGATGATCGATTATAAAAAAATTAATCGATCATCGCATCAGATGAGATAAAACGATTAGACAATCGATAGTAACCGATCATCGTATCATCACTACTAATTGGATAATAATGTTAAACAATAAGAAGCGTTAAGGCAGACCTTGAAATGATCACCCGAAAATCAGAGAAGCGAAACATATGTAATATGTCTATATCCGTTTGGAGTGCCTAGAAATTATCACCCGAAAATTAGAGACGCGAAATATATTTAATATGTCTATATCCGTTTGGCGTGACTGGCAATTATCACCCGAAAATTAGAGACGCGAAGCATACGTAATATGTTTTATCCATTTGGAGTGCCTAGAAATTATCACCCGAAAATTAGAGACGCGAAGCATACGTAATATGTTTTATCCGTTTGGAGTGCCTAGAAATTATCACCCGAAAATTAGAGACGCGAAGCATACGTAATATGTTTTATCCGTTTGGAGTGCCTAGAAATTATCACCCGAAAATTAGAGACGCGAAGCATACGTAATATGTTTTATCCGTTTGGAGTGCCTAGAAATTATCACCCGAAAATTAGAGACGCGAAGCATACGTAATATGTTTTATCCGTTTGGAGTGCCTAGAAATTATCACCCGAAAATTAGAGACGCGAAGCATACGTAATATGTTTTATCCGTTTGGAGGGTTTTTTTTAATTTTGATTATTTTCATGAGATGTTGATAAAAACATTGTTTAGAAATAAATTGCTTCCACTCTCCTTGTACTTATTTCATATTTCACCCATGTTTCATCCATTTTGAAATTTAATTAAGACATCATCCTAATAAAAATGGGAATTTTTCAATAAATTGTTCTCGGTTTATAAAGCGATAATTTGTTGTAGAGTAGAACATTACACACTTTGCTCGTATCTACGATTGATGTGTATATATATATCTGGTATTGCAAGACACGTGGTAGCCTATATATTGTGGTTAACTACTAAAAAAGTATATTTCCTGTTACAGGAGTCTTGCTAAGGAACTGACGACTATCGACACCACGATAGCGTCATGCTCAAACGTAAATGAAGTAAGAGCGAACTTGCACGTGATCGGTGGATTATGCACAGCCGAAGGTAGAACCACGCCCTTCCTCGACAGCTGTAAGTAATCATATTAATTCTGTGTGTGTTTGTTTGTATGTATGTTTATATGTGCGTGCATGCGAGCGTGCGTGAGGGTGTGGGGGTGGGGATGTACCATTGAAATAATGGTCAATAGGAGACAGTGAACATGCATATGCTTATATACCTAAATAAATGATCACGATATCATTCTTAAGAGAGAACACAGAAAGACATTACAATTATCTACAATTAACTAATGGTTAATGAACCATGCCAGAGAGAACTCCTCAATTAGAAAATATTAGCTGTGAAAAAAAGATGCTCAAAAATAATCCAAAACAATGCCGATTTGAAGCGTTGTCATAGACTATACTTATGCATGTACCCTGTCTTAAAGTAAGATTGATTTCCAGCCACAACACCCAGTACATGAGACCTACCAGTCAATATTTTATTGTGCAAGACATACATGTGACTAGCAGCCTTCAATGCAAATCAGAAGAAGACACTGTAGAGCCTTATTGTTCAAAGCATCATAGAGCTGCTTCATCAGTGATGTTAAGGGCTGAAGTTGTTGAAACCTAAGGGGCACCGAGGGAAATCCAAATTGGTCGAAAAAAATGTCAAAACCGGATGGGAAGGTACACTTATTCCAAAATTTAATAAATTCAATGACCTTCAATGCTGATTTATATAAAAAGAGCAACAAATTGACATGTATGCTCTGCCCGTGCCACGATTAGAATGAAAGTGTAGTTGAATGGCACATAACCTTTTTCATAAATGTTGTGAAATAGAGTTTATTTATCAATCCAAATGAATTAAAATACGACTTTTTGATCACGACAAACTCCCGGGGCCTAAAAGTCCATCAGCAGTGTATACCGTCTGTAATCTCAAAGGATTTGACACTCAGTTGAATAGTATCTATCAATACAACCATAGGATACAGCAGATCCAAATAATTAACCTGTATCATACAGCTGTTTCGTCTAGGAATCGTCCGCGATGCTAAAGGACTAAAATGATAGGTAGTACACTCAGCATTGCGGTAGTGTCATGGCTAACAGTGTCAGTATAATATGACAATGGGTTGCTTTTCGAATATTCTTCAAAGTGGCAGCAGTACTAAAGGCACATTCGCATTATCACAAAGAGTCTCACACGAACATATCCCAGCCCTCTTAACTGAAAACACGCGCATTTCAGACATGCACACACTTAACACGCTTAGGATTGCGTCCTTAAAATCTTATGACCATGGATATTAACCGAACGTGAATAAATATAAAAAGTCATCCCCAATCTGCCTGAAAGTATGTGTTGTCATCTGGTCGAAAAAATTAGCTTTCCATGGAATCCCTCCCTCATACAGAAACATGCACAAGGATGTGCAATCTGGAGATTGGTCACGCTCTCTCTCACCATATACCTTGACTACCAGGGTTCGATTCATCAATCGGATGTGAAACAGTACTAGATTACATGAACAGCCAAACTCCACAGTAAAACACCTCGCTTGGTGCATGATTCCCAAGAGCTCTGTGTTCGTGCTATAACCTAGCGTTATTTTCATGTTTAAATTTCCCTGTTTAATGAGTCAACATAGTGTTTAGCATGTATTTATAATTGTGTTCGTTTCATGAATATTGCTTTTAAATTTTATCTCATTATGTACAAGACATTCCATTTTTATAACAAATGTGTACAATATCCAATTTAATTGTCCGAAGTAATAACTAGGATGAAGATGCAGAATTCATAGTGTGAAAAAGACACAACGTTTGTTTTGATTAAAAATCTGCATAAATAAAAGAAAAATAAATATGAAGATATATATATTAATGTAAAAAAACGAAATGTGTAATTTCTAATACATAAAAATATTTACCCATTATGATTTAGAAGGACACTTATATAAAATTATAATCTTAATTGTCGGTTAATAAAACAACACGTAAATACTAACATGTCAACTTAGTCATAATTCAAACTCAAATTTAATCAAACTAGTGCACCATTTGAATAAAAAAAATATTTAAACGGAGACTCCTAAAAAGTACAAGGGGAATAAGACCAGGTGTTCCGAAGGCGCAAACCTTTTCTGCTTTATCAACGGCACCCGAAATATAAACCTTGGTCTATTCAATTATTAATGTCACGTACTCAGATAAGAACAAGATATACCACAACGGAACCAAGAGGCAATCTGACCGCTACCTTCATACCGCAAAACGAAACAGTACATTTCTTTATGAAATTCTTATGACGACCGTAAAACTTCCCCCATAATTTCATCAGTCTGCATCTATGTAAATCCTGTGTCACCAAATTTATCCTTCAATAGGCGTTTTCTTGCACGAAAACGAATAACGAATCAACTGCGACATGTCGACACCGTAGATTGGGGATGCAGATATGTTGCTATCCAGAAATGGAAAATGCACAATAGGGAAAATTGAAATCATTACGCTTATCATATTGAACGCTGTCCATGTTGGTTTTGTTGTAGGAAAAGATCGACATTAAATTACTAATAATCCTCATAATAATCCTGCCAGAACACAACCAATCGCATTCGAGAAATTTCATCTGATCACTTCCATTTCTCTCTCCTCTCTCATTTTATCTCTGTTTTGTTTTTCATTTTCATGTTTCTTTTTTGTGATCAGGAGCAAACAAAAATTTCTTTTTTTTGTGATCAGTTAATTTACTATAAACAACCGCACATAAACATAAATTTGTTTTCTTTCATTTAGTAATAGCTGACTTTGGGGAATCCTATGCCTTTCGTCGTGAATGTATGAGCCAAGTTAATCCGATTTTGATGGCTTGTGGACCCGAGATGATAGAGCCATTCAAAGATATGGAGGGAGGACCTAAAGCCTACAAGATGTAATCATATTTGCATGAATACTTACTTTAACGCACATTATGTATATGATAAATAATAATTAATCCATGAGATAGATTTCAAAATATTTGAATGCCGAGGGAAATAAAAGATACATATTTTCTATGAAACCCTATTCATTAAGATGATTTACTTAACATAATGCATTTATAGTTGATTATTCCTCTAAAATATATTTTACTCCCTGAAAAAGAAAACTCCCCAGATATGAAATTTCTTAAACAAATCGTGAAATATTGCAAAAATGTCGCTTTTGCTGGCATATATTACATCATTTGGTTAATCTAGAAGTATTCTCAGAAATCTACGATGATCAATTTTACTGACTCTTTGTATCTTACTTGTAGAGGTTAATAACAATCATTTAAAATTTAATATATGCTTACAGAGGGAGAAAAATTCTTTCAGTGATAATACCAGCTCATTTCATTCCTTTACATGAAAAAAAATCTTTATGTAAAGCTGTATCGTTATATAGTTAAAACTAATCATGCCAAATTTCAGGAAATTATTTCAAGGACAAAGCAATGATATTCATTTTACCCTTTTCCCCATTAGTATACTTAAATTATATTATGTCATTAAAAAACGTGAATGATTCTTGATTTTTTAAAAATTGTTTTTCAGGCAGATTATTGATCAAGAGAAATGTAACGCAAGAGGATTTGATGATAACGACGGTATGGGTGCATGTGGCAACATTCTTAGTCTCAAGAAACTGGCCTGCATCCTCGACATTTTCCATAACCTTGGACCCGGTGTAACTTTCGATTTGGCAGATTTTGGTTTTGATCTCTAACACTAGTTTGCATCACCTGAAAAATAAAACGTTTGTATTGGATGATGTGACCCCCTCTTGAGATGATTACCACTGTGACGTTTCCAATTTCATATTTAAAACTAATGCAAGACTTGATGGATATATATCATTCATGGCCTCAATTACGTGATGTCGTGTCCACGAGACTTCAGTTAGTCATTTAAATATCTCAGAATGTTGCACCAGCACATACACGTGGGTTGGAATCCCAATCTCAAAACTCTCTATGCTGTTTTGTCATTTAAAAGTATTTCACTTTTTTCAATTATTTTTTGCTTAAGTGGATGTTTATTATTGTTTTTGTTTTTTTTTTATTTTTCTTTCCTTAATGTACAATAAGATGGTTTTTCATGTTACGTATTGGTATGTTTATTTTCCTATGTTGTACGGGAGAAGTGCATGTACGACAACATCGAATAACACTTTATGTTCATATTGATTTTATTTCATTTTCAACATTACTGAAATAATATCGTTATCACCTTGGTCTGTGCTGACCGCTGTGTCAACTTCAGTGCTGACCGCTGTGTCAACTTCAGTGCTGACAAATGCGGGATTTTCATTTAAGGTCATTACGTCCCTATGTTGGTTCGCTACTAACACAGAGGCGACGCACGTCGAAAACAGTGGCTGCACATTTATCTGATCGGTTTTGTTTGGCCCATTGGATACGCGTGTTGTTCACTGAAGAGTCTCGCTTCACGATTTACAGGTCAGATGGACAACAACCTGTCTATCGACGTCGTAAAGAACTATTCTGACGCTTACGTAACGGAAAGCGACAAATTCGGGGGAGGGTCTGTTAAGGTAAGGGCAGGAATATATAAAGTCGTGAAAACACATCTCGTGGTTATCCATGGCAATTTTACAGCAGTAACATACCAGGACCAGGTCTTGAGACCACACGTCCTTCCTCTTATCCATCGACGTTATCATACGATGCAGCAGGACAACTCAAGGCCTCATGTTGCTAGGGTTTGTCATGACTTTCTGACTCAAAACAACATGGCCACCATACAGTCAAGATTTGTCGCCATTCGAACGTTTGTGGCACGAGCTGGACAGGAGGGCAAGGAAGCGCGTCAACGTCCCATATACCGTTGCTGAACTCAGACAGGGTCTGGGAGTGAAATAATATCTCAAAGGACAATGAATACCTTGATGGGGTCAATGTTAAGGAGAATAAGACCTGCGACTGAAGCCATGGGTGAGCACACACGCTACTGATTTAGATCAGGAAACGATGGTGGGTACCCTTGTTTTAACACTATTCACGCAAACACCGTCTGTGAAAGGCCAACAAAAATCAGCATGATGTATTATTCAGTAATGTTGAAATAATTGAGAAACAACGAATTAATCATCAATGCATCATGTAAAATGATAAATATCGAAAATGAACTTCTGTTTCTTTTTTCCGCTGCTATATCGGCCTTCTGCTAAACAAGATCACAGATTACCGATATTTAATCACACAAATTATTCATATAAATATATTTTTATAAGTAAATATATTTTGACGACTTCAGTTTTTAAAAATCACGTGATACTATATCTCAATCAAATGCTAAAAGACTTCCTTAATGGGTCCCAAGGGTATCGGATAGTTCTCGGGTACATAACTGATTTTAGACATAGTAAGTTAAATTATAGAGTTTCGGACTTTTTAGCTCAATTGCAACTGTGCGAAATTCATCTTACGTATTTATGTTATTAGTCAGACACATCATAATTTTCAAACTTTTCGAAACGTGGAACAAAACTTAACTACTGACAGGAACAACAACAGTTCTCTCATTAGTTTATTCTACCAGAAGCTTTGCAATCCTAGATTTTAAAACTACAAAGATATTTAAGGCGTTGAATGTACTCTTTTATTTAATATATGTTGATGGAAAAGGACGATGAAGACAACGTATGAATGGTCATAATTCTGAAGTAAACCCCTCAACCCCTTTAACCCTCTGATTATTCTACACACTCGATAAGTATTTTGGAAAAAATACTACCAAACTAACGACCCTACTATTAGCACGCCGTACGGTAGCCAACGTGAAGAACATTACATTAGACGCCATATGGTAGTATTGACCGCATTGAATCTGTTGGAAATTTGTCTCTTTGGTAACGCTAAAGATATGGCTGTATTCCTTCCTAAAAAAGACGTAATTGTAGCTATGGAGAGTGACATTGCAAGAACTCTAGAGTAAACAGTGTTAAGTTTAAAGATTTAACCATTAGGGGTACATCGTTTGGAATTACGTTTGAGTCGTTTCCTCTCTCCAGGTTACAAAACCTTCAAGTGTATTTAGCTAATACTGTACCTGTAAGGCGTGGACACACGCTTATTCTTTATAATAATTAATGAAAATAATATTTTTAAACCAGTCTATATTTCTGCCATGCGACTCTTAGGGAATTCGACAATCCATGAAATTTGAGTTTGCAAATAAGGGAGTGGATACTTTTAACCTCGGTAATATTTTACACCGGCAATCTTTCGAAGCTTTTAACCCACCATACTTCCTATTCAGAAACACCTCCGTAATTTCTCCACGCCGGTAGCATCCAAACTTTTCAGCAACAAACATGCGCTACAACAGCAAATGAATGTAGATGACTTAAGAATAAATCCTCCTTTAGCTTGTTCTTGTTCAACCTCTCCATATAACTGTGGTCCTGCTAGGCACATAGTGAATGCCCGCTTTAGCATTATCTCAAACGTGAAACTTTTTCTTTTAAATGGAATATGAATTTCAAGATATTCCGAGAGTCCTTGGAAAACTTTGTCACAGAATAAGTAAAATGAGAGTGTTCTGCATTGGATTCACTCTCACAGTCGGTTCACTCCATTCAAATCATCATTTTTACATTTTTAGATAGCAGGTATGTCATTTGCCTAATGAAAAGGCATCAAATAACTCGACCCTTTTCTGCAGACAGTTATACATTTTCACAAAACAAAAAGAACTGGACTTACTTCATAACAAAGGAATCTTTACATTATGCAATCTTACCAAAGAAGAAATACGGGCGAATCATGCATCCGTTTTAGGTATATGTAGACAGACTATCAATTAAAAGGAAACGGACATCCTCCGTTTATATTTGATTCTTAAACTTCTCAGGAATCACAGTAAACAGCGTTTTATTGCTGGTTCTTAAAGCTGTTCCAATCCTTTATCCAAACTTCTAACTACCATTCTTAGAACTAATAAATTATTCCGACTTGTGTTTAACACCCTCAGAACACTGGACTCCGTTCACTATAATACCTCCCCCCCCCACCCTCTTACCTGAAGGAACAACTTCGTTTTCTTGTTATGAGAGCTTCCTGCTTCCTTTCCAAACGTGGTACAAATATGGATTGATCTATATTGAAGCGTATTTTATGAAAAATACATCAAAATAAAAGAAATATACGGAGGACGAGATTATAAAAATGACGGAGTTTTTGGTTGGCAATATCTTCGTTGAGTTTTGTGGTAGTATTTTCCAACGGATTATTACCATACCTATGTGAACCAAAACGTAAAGAATATAAACATATACATAATCTTCAATATGATGTGTGCTTCCCAACCTCATTCATATGTCACAAATATTTTTGTTCACAGTGATAATGACAAAGGAGGCAACCATGAAATGCTGTCACTTTCGGGATCATTTGTCTGTTACACCTAATGCCTTACTTGATTATTACAAATGTCCAATGTGACTATTAAGTAATTATGAACATTTTGCTCTTCTGTCCCTACCCCCTCCCTCACTCCCTTCTGATTTTGATGTAGAGTAACACTGACATCCTTTTGTCCTTTGTATCTCAATGAATTCAGAAATTTAGAAAATCTGGAAAATATATGAATGGCATTTAGAAATATCAGATGGGTAAATTGGTGATGAATTGGTACAGATTTTTTAAATGTCAATTATAAAATGCAGTAATTTCCCCAATAAGAGGAAGATGACGTATGATTCATGACTCTATTTTGATATTACCCAAGTTCTGAATCATTTAAAATCTATCAACACAACTGGTCTCATTTAGTATGTACATGCACGCAATTTTAGTAATGTCAAACAGATGTTGCACGTTCATTTTTCAGATTGTCCCATATTTACATATTCACTCATGTTTAAAGGCCATCCACAATGATCTTTAGTCGTACTGTGTTACGTATTCCGATACAATATAAAGGATAAATTCCAATTTTGTTAACAAATGGAAGCGGTATTCATCATCCTAAGTAAGTTTTTTAATCTCTCGTCGTAATATAAGAAATTTGTGCAAACGTTTTATCAAATAATTAACCATCACATTGTAAGATCGAAATGGCTGCTGTAAAATTATTAATTTTCGCGGAAGATTTCTTTTCGTTGATTTCGAAAATGCGCTTATTGCACGTATTCATTTATCCACGAACTGTCATTATTAGTGCAAACACAATTTTGGGCTATATTTATCCTCAAAATTAAATGTTCACGAAATAGTGAAAACTGCGAAAATTAAGTCTAACGAAAATATATGATTTTACAGTATGTCACATATAATGTTGTAAGTTGTGAGGAAATTACAATAATCCGAGGATACGGCAATTGTTTTAAACATGTGTTATGTGGTATATACATTCCATCCCGGTTTCGCAGTTATTTAACGTTCTCGCAACAGTCATGTCATATGAGGACAGGTGTAAAGAGAGACACTAACAGCCAGTGTCATATGAGAACGGGTGTCAATAGGGACATCACCATCCAGGATCATATGGGGTGGGTGTCAATAGGGACATCAAAAATCAGGACCATATGAGAGCGGATGTCAAGAGAGAGACCAACAGCAAAGTAATAGGAGGGCTGGTGTCAAGAGGGACACCAACAACCGGGTAATATGAGGGCGGGTGGTAAGAGGGAAACCAACATCCAGGGTCAAATGGGGGTTGGGTGCCGAGAGGGACAACAACAGCCAGTCCCTCTTGACACCAGTTTTAATATGTTACTAATTGTTGATGTCCCTTTTGTCGCCAATTCGCATATGACCCGGCGGATGGTAAGAAGGACACCAGCAGTTAGTGTCTTATGGAGACGGGTCTCAAGAGGGACATGAACAATCAGTAACATAGGAAGGTTGGTGTCAAGAGGGACACCAACAACCAGGATCGTATGGAAACGATTGTCAAGAGGGACATAAAGAATCAGTGACATGTGAAGACGGTTGTCGAGAGGGACAACAACAGCCAGTCCCTCTTGACACCAGTTTTAATATGTTACTAATTGTTGATGTCCCTTTTGACAGCCAGGATCATATGGAGACGGGTGTCAGGAGGGACGTGAACAATCAGTGACACATGGAGACTGGTGTCAAGAGGGACACACCAACAGCCAGGATCATATGGAGACGGGTGTCGGGAGGGACGTGAACAATCAGTGACACATGAAGACTGGTGTCAAGAGGGACACACCAACAGCCAGGATCATATGGAGACGGGTGTCAGGAGGGACGTGAACAATCAGTGACACATGAAGACTGGTGTCAAGAGGGACACACCAACAGCCAGGATCATATGGAGACGGGTGTCAGGAGGGACGTGAACAATCAGTGACACATGAAGACTGGTGTCAAGAGGGACACACCAACAGCCAGGATCATATGGAGACGGGTGTCAGGAGGGACGTGAACAATCAGTGACACATGAAGACTGGTGTCAAGAGGGACACACCAACAGCCAGGATCATATGGAGACGGGTGTCAGGAGGGACGTGAACAATCAGTGACACATGAAGACTGGTGTCAAGAGGGACACACCAACAGCCAGGATCATATGGAGACGGGTGTCAGGAGGGACGTGAACAATCAGTGACACATGAAGACTGGTGTCAAGAGGGACACACCAACAGCCAGGATCATATGGAGACGGGTGTCAGGAGGGACGTGAACAATCAGTGACACATGAAGACTGGTGTCAAGAGGGACACACCAACAGCCAGGATCATATGGAGACGGGTGTCAGGAGGGACGTGAACAATCAGTGACACATGAAGACTGGTGTCAAGAGGGACACACCAACAGCCAGGATCATATGGAGACGGGTGTCAGGAGGGACGTGAACAATCAGTGACACATGAAGACTGGTGTCAAGAGGGACACACCAACAGCCAGGATCATATGGAGACGGGTGTCAGGAATGACATGAACAATCAGTGACACATGAAGACTGGTGTCAAGAGGGACACACCAACAGCCAGGATCATATGAGGGCGGATGTCAAGAGGGACACACCAACAGCCAGGATCATATGAGGGCGGATGACAAGAGAGACACCAACAGTCAGGATCAAATGAAAACGGATGTCAAAAGGGAAACCAAGAGTGGACAATAAAACAGAAAGAAAAGAAAGAAAAAGATGAGTAAAAAATGAAAATACCAAGAACAAACGTACTGCCTGCATGTATTTGAACATGCCATGTAACACAAATTTAAGTACGTATTTGAGACGACTCGTTTCGTATATTTTTTCTGCTTTATTCTGTTTAGTTTTCGTGGGTCTCATATATGCTTCGTCGTTGGCCGCAACCGTCACAGCGAAATCACTTCTGACCAGCCTAGAGGATCAGACGGCAGGCAGATCAGAATGTAATTCGTATTCAATGCTGACTGAGAGAATAGGTGAAGAAATGGTGGACACAATTAGCGAAATCGGTGGGCGGATTGACAAACCGAAAAAAGTCGTTAAATCTGCACTCCTACAGGAAATAGAGTTATCCTGTCAGTAAGTTACATGTTTTGCTCAAATACCACCGTTATTAAGAGGAGGTAATCTACATTGTAAGCTTCAAATGACCGTTCTAAAACCTATCTACAGTTTAGAATGGTGAAACTTGCACATTTCTACATGTTACATATTTAACAAAATACCATTACCTCCTCTTTAAACGCTTGACTTACTGCCAACAAATAATCAATGAAAAATGAATACGGCTGCAAAATTAGGCGTGTATTTAGCAGAAAGTATTCCCTTTGTTTACGTCCCTTCAGCAGACAGCATTCCTTTTGTTTATTTCACTTATTTGAATGTGCAATTCCTAATTTATTGTCAGTGTCACGTTCTTGGTGTAATAACCGATAGCTGACATTGCGCAAGAGATTGTTTTCCATTTAACATCAATATTTTAAATTAAGTGAATCAAGTTGGTTTAAAACTTGGATCTTGCCCCCTGGAAGCGAAATGGGCCGCGACACAACAGCAATGAATAATACACTAACATTATTATCTTAAATCATTGCCGTTATTTTTGTCTGGTCTTATAAACTTTTGAAAACCTCTCGGATAGACGAGACCGAATATTCTAAAACGTCTTTTAGCATTTTCATTATCGTCAGTATTTACTAAACACTTATGAAATAAGGAATGATAGCCAGTGATATGTCGGTATAGAGAGTTATTTTCTGTCTACCTCTTGTGATGATAATTTCAGAGTTATGGCGATGAAGGTGAACAAGATAAAGAATGATATTATTGAGGAATGTCCTATTCACGTCCTAACTGGCATGCATGTGTTTGGAGGAATCTGCACGGACAAGGGATCATTGACAGCACTTGCAAATGAACGTGAGTTGAAATTAGAAATATAACGGAACCATAAAGTCAACTATTAGATAATGACGAAAATTGTACCTGTTGTCTACTGAAGTTGTATTTCTTTAAAATCCGTGATACACTCAGCCTACATAAAACAGTAACATTTAGACCAATCATCATGAGGTGATCATCAAACATAATACCATATACCATAGATATAATGATAATCAACTGATTTATTCACGTTTTATAGAGGTTTGCTTGTGTGTGTGTGTGTGTTTGTGTGTGTGAGGGTGTGCGTGCGCGCGCGTGTGTGTGTGTGTGTGTGAGGGTGTGCGTGCGCGCGCGCGAGTGTGTGTGTGTGTGATGGTGTGTATGTGTGTGTGAGGGCGTGCGTGCGTGCGTGCGTGCGTGCGTGCGTGCGTGTGTGTGTGTGTGTGTGGGTGTGTGTGTGTGTGTGTGTGTGTGTGTGTGTGTGTGTGTGTGTGTGTGTGTGTGTGTGTGTGTGTGTGTGTGTGTGTGTGTGTGTGTGTGTGTGTGCTTATCAGTGCTTATATATGTGTGTGTACTTATCAGTGCTTATATATATCTGTGTATGTCTGTACTTATCAGTGCTTGCTGACTACCAATATGTGAGGAGCGCCTGTTTCCCCGCTATGCATCCCATTATGGACGGTTGTAAGAGGGCGGATATCGTCGCAGACAAGGGGATTGTGGATGGGCTGACAGAATACAAAAGGTAGCAACAGTATACATATTTATTCAATTTCTAACTGACTGCCGCGGTACGATGTATTTACGGTTTTTTTTTACACTCACAGTTTCTAAGTTAAGTATCAGAATAGAGAACGGAATACGTTTTCCTAATAAAGTGGAAGGAAAACTTTGCAATAGTTGTTTAATCTTTTTTTCGGGGGAGGAGTGGGGAGGGGGGTTAACGACAATTGAAATGACCGGAATCCCTTAACTATATAAGAAATTACAGTTTCTAGTCTGTATCTGTTAAAGAATAAACCTGCTGATGAAGGGTAATGATAGACTAAAGTAATAATAAAGGATTCCGTTATTTAATGTTCGGGGACATATAAAGAACAAATTTACTTATAGACTATATTGTGGCTATTATTAGAAATATACTTATGTATGATATTTAAGTATTTTTAACCTGATGTTTAAGACATCAGTGGTGAAATGTAGGATAACGCCATATGAGTAACGGCGCAATTGAAATGTTTAAATAATATTAAGTAATATGCAATGTCTTAAATACAAATGTATTTCATATTTAAAGTTTATCCAGCCATATTATGATAATAATATGAAGCGCGTGTAGGGAAAACTACTCACCAACACAAATATCATTTCTGATATATAGTATTTGCTAAAATGCTTACAAAGAAGAGGAAGAGGTGCCAATTTGGGCCATTTTGATATTTTTGCATAAGTATACTTCTTCAAAATATCACGTTTTCTATGGGCTCTTTAACACATGAAGGGTCTTAGTTCAGATTGTAAAATGAAAATATAGCCTTAAGGCTTTACTTTTTGCACATTTATTGAAAGAGCGATTGCCCCTACGCGAGACTCATGAAAAAGTACAAGGAGAATAAGACTAGATGTTAATTGCCGACGACCACCATGAGAATCTTGGTCAAGCCAAATAAGTAATGTCAGGCTCTCAAATGAGAACAAGCTTAGGAACCAACAGCTTCAAGCTTCGTATCGCACAAAGAAATGGGATATTTCTCAATGAGATCATAATGACGACCGTAAAATTTCCCCATTTCATTAACCTTCATCTTTTGAAAACCTGCGTTGCAAGTTTGTCCGTCACTTGACGAATTCTTGCACGAAAATCAGGCTTATTGGAGCAAGCCCTTGAATATCGAATCAACTGCGACCTGTAAATACCGCAGGTCGGTGACGCAATAATGTTTGGAATAGCATACTATATTCAATTGATTTTGAAACATCTTTAGATGGAAAACATATTTTTAGAAAGTCTCCTCTCATTCGGGATTATTTTGCAGTCTTTCAGTTGCTTGCCCATACTTCAACTGATGGGTTATTTTCAGTCTTTCTTTCACATTTCAGAATCATGCCCGAACATCTCCATTGTGTGTTTACGGGGATAGAAAACATCGACGGTATGTCATCAGTGTGTGGTAGTACCGCCAGTCTGAAGAGAATGGCTGTGTTGTTCGAACTCATAACATATCCAGGTCCAGGAGTTACATTCACGATGGAAGACTTCGGATTATAACCAAAGGATGTCACATCGAACAATAAAGAGAATAAACAGAAAATTTCCGCTCGTGGCAACATTGTAATTTCAAATAAAACAGTTTTGTATAATATCTTCTTGCGCTGTGTAAGCTACGTCAAGTATTGGCCCTCGTTAAAAGTTAAAATGTTTTTCTTTGTGTTTGTTGATGAGATAGATCAGTGCTCTAACGGTTTGGTCAAGAAATGCCTTGCACGTGCTCTGTGGAACAGATGCGAGACGACTATTACATTAAACACGACGTTGTCCTTTTCTTCTTGATCCAAAAGTAGGATATCAAATAGAGGAGATCATATCGACATATCGATCAGACAATGCTTGTATCTGCATTGTCCTCCAGTAAGACAACCTGTTACTTATAGCCACTAGAGTGTTAGGGTTCTAAAAAAGATGAACGTTCCCTCTCCCAACCCCACCCCCACCTTTTTTTTCTTTGACAAATATGAAACATTAAAAAAGTGGTATCTAGGATCTAGAATAAGGTTTTTTAGTGACTGTCGAAGGTTTTCGCTTATCTCTCCTATCAAGCGTTAAAGCATTCCTATTAAGCTGTTCAAATGAATTGTAGGTGTATTTTAATTAGAGTAATAGTTGTTGCCTTCAGTGTGAGATTTATTTGTCAACATCGTACAGATCGCTGCGTTAAGAGAAAGCCCCAGAGCAATATTACCTGGCTTTATGTGGTATACAGTAATACCGGTTTTCTGCTGTAATCGATAAACTATCATGCGACATAATTGACAGTCGATTTAAATGACTATATTTAGTTGCAGGCAAACACCATATTGTTCTCCAGCCTATATCTATATACACGTACAACTCTGAAGCGTGTTTTAGCCTCAACTTTCTGACTTATATTTTTATTTTGATTTATTTCTGTCATATAATTAATTACTCCCCCTGGCAAGAACACATCTCTACAGCCTACACTGGAATACTCCAGCACCTAGTGCACTTCTGAACGCCTATTTCTCAGTGGTCATATTCTGCTGCTATAAAAAGGAACAAGTCGTACAGACTCGGGTTTGCAAGTGAATAGGATAGATGGTCAATCTCTAGTGGGATGAATCGTTATCGTGAATAAGCTGTATGCCATTCATTTCTTTACCTGGACGTTTTTTTTCCTCTGACGTTTGTACTTTGTGTGTATAGAGGTTGATATTTGCCCCCCCCCTCCTCGCCCCTCCCCTCCTTGCTCTTGCATGATATCTAAACAACTGGCCCGCTAGATTTTTCGTGCTAGTTTATCATCTGAATGACCTAATAGGTTTCTTGTCTGTGGGATTTAGCTCAACCATCAGTTCGGAAAAATCCTGAGATAGTTCTAACCAACAGAAAAAGTTTTTATAACACAACAAGTAGAAGGTTTGTGGCATTTCGAAAACTTCACGGTCACCTTCGTCAGACAAATGACCAGTGTGAAGCTACTAACACTGACGTTCGTGTACGTAGCGTACGAGATGGTAAGAAATTGACCAATAAGGTGCAAAGCAGTACACCAATGTCCCTGTCCCTGTAGGCAAGAAGTTTTTTCCTGAATTACAATGACCATATTTTAAACGATTTTTAGGACAATTTAAACGCTTGGTCTTGTGTATAGATCTCTGTAAGAAAATGGGGGTCTTTCGGGAACACAGCTTTAAAATTTCAGACACTTGGTAAGTATGTGGCATGTGCTGCCTTCTGAAATACACACCTTACGAACTGTCACGGTTGGTTGGTTGGTTGGATGACAGGTTTTCCGTCTCCGCAAATCTTCCCGTGTCCGCGTATCATATCACCGACGAACGTCAGTGTTCTGGCGACGTGAGGGGTCACCTGCATCCCCTGAGAGGGGTAGAACCGTCTGAATCGGTGAACGTTTGAAATTGCTATAGTTTTAGATGACGGGCTAATGTTGCCATATCCTAACTCTAGCAGTTGAAACGCTTCCAGAAGCTGAAAGGAAGAATTTGGGCCTATCTAGATTTGATATATGTTAGGGTAATTTTGAAGTCCTCCAAAAGACTTTAAAAACTGACACTATCCCTTAATCCCTGAACCCGCGTTACCACACTTACTCTATTTTCGAAAAGTCACAGAGGGATCTTTAAAGTGCGAGAGTGGACAGTCCTCACACGGGTTCTGCCACGGTGAAAACAGTAAAAACGACCATCATTCTAAACCAATGCTTTCTTAACATCAATGTCCTTTTTTACCGGCTTGACCTGTTTTTCACTTCGATATCAATTTCACCATTCTTTACTTTACTGATTTACTAGAAAACATTTCTATAATTGATGGCAGAAATGTTAGTGTATACATCAAGACTGGTCTGTGTTGAATGGTTATTACGAGTGTAGAGAAAGGTGCTTTCCTAACCTTACTTTTCGTATATATCATCAAAGCACGGTCAGGGTGGCTTACCTTTCAAAAATGTCCATTACTCCCAATCTTTACCGTGTTTCTTTCTTTATTTATATATTTTCACGTACATTGCTCTATTAATGCCTCTGCGGTTTGCCAACGTGTTGTGCTATATCACCGATTTGTACGCGAGCCATGTAGTGATTACGCTAACTAAATCTATTTATCATTGGCAGTGAGTTTTGGTGATGATAATCATTCAGTTCAGGTATGTACAGGTATATACTAGTGGTTATCCGTTTATACATATCTGTTGTAAACGAATCTCGTAAAACAACTGTAAATACAGTTGAAATTGTCGTCATGCTAACTTGCCATTTCCCAATAGGTGCACAAAGATGACCGACTAGTCCAACATTGTACAAGTTCATGCTACATTACCTGATGGGTACAAAATATAATATAATATATCTATTTTATATAGATTATCATTTATAAATTGATGAAGCCCTTTGAAAATCGGACCAAGTTCCACTATGAAATTATTTGTTTTCATAGTTAAACCACGGACTTGTATACACATATATATGTGTGTATATAAGTCCGTGGTTAAACATATAACTAAATACAATCGTTTCCAGAATTTTTACTTACACACCAGATAGGTCCATACTTACTAAAACAAAGACAGAATCCCCCCTCCCTCAAGGCTGTGTCGTTTTACCAAGAGCGATTTTCTGCAAAAGTATTCTTATACTATAAATATCTTGTTATCAATTTATGGGAAACTTCAGCTGGCCAAGGGGAGGCAAATCAAATTCAGAGTTAGCAGTTCTCGATTAGAATTGATGAATATACTGACCTCGGGGTCAAACATAGATGTGGTTAATTAGGAGGGATCTCGGACAATACTCCGGGGTTACAATAGGAGTCTGCAATGGGAAGACTAGCTAGAAAGTTAGTCAGAGCGTGGTATATAGAAGGAGAGTCAAATTAAGAATAAGCTCGAGACTTACGGTCGGAAGGGATGCTTGAACAGAATGCGTTTTAGTGTCAAGTTATAAACAAAAATGGAGTTGTTAATAGCCCAGTGGTAGATTTACATGAGAGAAAAAAATCAATGAATATAAAAATGGTTTAAAATTCAACAAGTGCTTAATTGTTTTGTAAATAAAGTTGTTTGAAAGGATCGATCAAACGTTCCTCCATCAAGCTATATAAATGTGTTGTTCAATATTAATATATTGAAATAAATGGTGGGACGGAAAATTAGCTCTAAGCAAAAAATGATGAAATACCAAGTATCCTCGTTCATTAAACAATAGTTTGTGTCTTTAAAGAAAAATATAGTACTGGCCGACAAATGTTTTATGCAAATAAGGAGACACCCTCAAATCATTCGAGTATTTTCTGCATTTTACCTATATACCTGTGTTACCTGCATTTTTCGAATAGGTAAGTTTCAGAACGAGGCTCAGGTGTTACGGCCTTCACCTGAAAAAGAAGAGTCACTGCTGAAGTATTTCAGGCGGACATCGACCGCTCAAAGACGCGTAGGTAAGATTTTGTTTATATTTTGATTACGCTCCACAAAATAATTCATACCGTACTCTAAGCAATCGAACGCTCTAATTATATTTTACGAAATCGGCATTCTATTCTAAAATACACCTGTGATTCGCACCTGTCCCTACCTTGTTTTCAAATAGATGAAAATGGCCGCCATATTTTGGTCTCGATGGTACACGGTTGGTGTTATTGTATTGTAATCAGTAGATTTAATTTATCGTTTAGGCAATCTTCTTGAGCAGAAATTCTCGCCTAAATATTAAATGCAGTGTCATAGTGATTTCCACACACTGACTCGTAAATTATGCTTGTTAAACCAGCATTGTTGGGTATTACTCATCTTCAACTTACTTCCGGTAGTTCTATAATGATTACACATACCTGGTACTCCTTTCAAAAACGTTCATACGCACTTAAATACAAGTTTATAGTATTTATAAAAAACATACTTTAATGTTTTACATTGCAATGACAATATAAAGATTGTATTTGAATCGATCAAAAAGTTTATTCCTTACTTGTGTAATCTGCAGTTGATTGAAATTGAGAAGTGTGAGGGTTTCATTATTTAACTAGTTTTATGTGTACGAGTCTTTTATTTAAAGCACTGTTTAATTCACAATACATTTAAAAGTTTCAGTTATATAGTAAGTGAATTTTGGGACTCGCACTGTTCCTGTGGGACTCGGCCAAATATTGGGAAATCACTATCTCAATAATGGGATTCCTCAAAATATTAAAAGCGGTGTTCTGGGTTCAGCAGAAAAAATTCTGTAAAAAATAACAGTAGTAATTGTATGATGGGGAGATTTGCATAACAATGTACGGGTAATGTAAATTAAAAAGCTAGCACTGGGTAGTACATGAAAGAAATATTCTGCTTCCCCAATCCCACTTATCCACCACCTAAGTGTTAAATTCTTTACAACTCAAAAAGTTAAAAGTTTAAATTTGAATACTATTTATGTTTCAGATGTTTATAATATGATAAGGTTCCTATTACTGGGGGCTGCTCTACTTGGAGTAGGGTATGCCCAGAGTCGTCAGACAGTCATAGATAACCAAGTTGGGTACAAACAGGAAAGAGCTCCGTAAGTATTCCAGATAATATGTTAAAGAATAAGGAAATCAACTGAGAATGTCTGAAAAATTTTGTGTGTTGTGTAATTTTTAGGAGAAATAATTACTTACATTTCACATTCTTCCTTTGCAGGACTTATTTGGTGATTGCACCTAAAAGAGTTCGGCCGAATCAAGTTGTACAAATTTTTGTGACAATTTTGAAACTAGAATACTCCAGAATAGAAGTACGGGTGTCTATTACACATAAAAATGTTGAATATGCTGGGGCTAAGCTGACATTTGACCAGATTGGCAGTCGTACCATGCAGTTACATGTAAGTTTTCTTTGTTATGAAAAAAAGTTTATATATATCTTTGTAGTTTATTCTTAAAATCAAAGACTGAAAAAAATTTGAATTTTATTATGATCAGACAAGAACAATTTTGTAGTGGAATGGTGAACAAGAAAGACAAGTCTCATATTGTAGACATTAATGGATTTGTTCAGGTATAAAAAGATGAAATCACTAGACTGAAATCCTAAGTCTACAGAGGGGAAAGAAAAAACAAGTCTGATTATCAAGTTTTTGTTGTCACAGTTGTTTTTTTTTTTTTCTTTTGTAATTTAAAAGACGAATGATATTGTAGTGAAAACTGGGGGGAATTATCTCCCCTGTTTGTAACTTTGATGCAGTGTGACATGGACACAACAAGATCTTTTAGAGCTCCTGTGACAGTTTTGTGCAAATCCTCATGACAGCACTCTCTTGACTTCTAACTGCATAAGGACATGGACATAATTCTCAAACAGGAGTAATTTCACTGTACCACCTATTGGTTAGGAGCCGAGAGCTACTCTAAAGTATCCAGTGTGAAATATACACTGAAATCCTCTATAATAGGCATCATTCCTGAGCCATGTGGAGTATTAAGATAAGAATTCTTTTGCTTTTAAGATGACATAAGCACCTTATTCTAATGAATAAACAAATATATAACCATTTCAAAGACAAATAGGTTAGCTGAACATTTTTTATGTTTACACATCAGATTAACAATTGGTTTGAAATTACATTTTACAGATGCCTCAGAATTCTCAGACTGGGGATTACAAACTACGAGTGGAGGGAACTATTGACGGAGGAAGCAGTGGAAATGTGTTTGAAAACGAAACATCTATAGAATTCCACCCTAAGCAGGCCTCCCTGTTTATACAACTGAGCAAGCCCATCTTCAGGCAGGGCCAGAAAGGTATAGTATATACATGCAAGGATAAAACGAATTGTTATTAAAAAAAAGTCTTCCAGAAGTTTTGTAATTTTTTAAGTTGTAGATTCCAAAATCAATTATTACCAATGATATAAGGCAATTTGAATATTGCTAAAATACAAGATGATATCTTGAATACACCATATGCAATATATTGATTGAAATAATCCAGGTTTTAGCTGATAGTAATTTTTGAAAATATTGATATTTGACAATTTACATCAAGCAATATTTCCAAGATAATATCTTTAATGCATTGTAAGCAGCAATGACAACACGATGATAAAAGATTTATATATTGGATTGTTAATCATATTTTTCTTGTCGTCAAAATGAATTGACAACTGTGAGTGAATTTTTGTGTTTGTATTTTTCTTAGTTTACTTTCGAGTGGTGCCTATACTTCCCAACTTGATGCCCAAATATGGAAGTATGACAATTTATGTCAATGTAAGTAATGTAGTTCATCGAAAATTTCCATCGAAAAAGATTGAAATTTCACAGAAATCTGAATCTTAAGTATTACAACTTAAATTGACATTATAATTTTCAGATAGAAATATTTTGAAAGTATGAGTTTTAGCCATAATCAAAGATAACTGTATTCAGATTTGATTGAGACCACTTACAACATTGAAAAACATTTAAACTTTCCTTGTGTAATTGATTTCAGGATCCAACAGGATTCCCAGTACGTAGATGGCTGGCTGTACAGACCAATGCAGGAGGTCAGTTACTTCACTTTGTTTTTGTAAAAGTATACGTACATAAGTATGACTTGAAAAAAAGGATTTTCATTTCATTCCTATGGCCTAATTCTGTGGAACCAGATTACACATGATGGTGATGTACGTGTCATCATATGGCTCAGTGGTTATAGGCTTGTCTAAGGTGACCAGGGTTTGATTTCTCAATTAGATTTGAAAATGTGTCAGCCAGGTTCACTTCATAATAATAGGGGTTTCCCTAGGTACTCCGGTATATTCTCATGTTAACGCCTTCAAGGTCTTTCTCCCGGGCTAAGAAATTGATTCCTGTATCAAGCTGATGTCTGGTATTATAGTTTATGGAGTTAGAAATAAATTAAATGTAAGACGTACATGCTTTTTTGATACAAAAAAAATATCTTTAAAGTTCAAAATCTACCTGAAAATGAATTAAAAATCATGTTCATTAATATAAGTTTAAGTGCCAAACATTTCTACCAGATTTAAGCTTTAATTCTGGGATCAGTCACAATTTTTTTTACACAATTTTAGACAAAATATACAGAATTGATCAAAACTTAATTTACTTTTGAATAAAAAATAGTATAGAGATTATTGTTTAGTAGTGAACTTTTCCATTCATATCTAAATGGCCTTAAAATTTTAGTGACATATTATTTTTTTCTTATATACCGTATATTAAAATAAAGATAGAAAATTTATATGCAAGTCCTGTTTGATTTCCAGCATTTTCTCAAATTTCATGTTGTGTTCTCACCTTACAGGTATTTTAAGTCAGAGCTTTCAATTGTCTGATCAACCTAACTATGGAAACTGGTCTATACAAGTCGATGCTTTTGTAAGTATGCAAGATAAGTGTTATTGGGACTAAGCTAGATACAGAGTATTGAAATATTCTAAAAATTTCCTATTTATAGTTTTTGTAGGTCATGCTTGATAGATGGAGTACTGTATTTATTTAGTATATTATCAAAAAATGGTTACAAATGATGGAAAATTCCGTCAGAATTGAGATTTATTATCTATGTGGAAGTCTTATGTAGGGGAGGTAACCCTGTAATATAGTGTACCAGCTGTAATATGATTTCTCTAATTTCTTTCCCCTTCGCTCTTTAAATGTAGGTTTTGATGCACAGTAATCATTAGTGGGAATTATATTTTTGTAATGTAGATGACTTTTATTTAAATAGGTAACACAGTTAACAGCTCTTAACCCGGTTAACTCACAGTTATCTCAAAATAAATATGATTCAATGTGAAAATTTATCAGCGTTTAGCCTTCATTTTAGGCCATATTTACTCCTTATAAGTTTATCTTTAGACTGATAAAAGGAAAAATATGCTTTTGAATGTATAAATTTGTAATACTTTGTACTAGGCAATGAGTATTTCACATAGATTTGTGTGAGATAACTAGCAAGGATAAGAATAAGGGGTAAAGATTTCTTATGGTTAGTTGTGATGATAAATAGAAGAACTGATTTTGTGATTTTCCATAAGTTACCTGTAGAACATTCTGATGTTTTCAACTATCATTCTTACTGATTCTGTTTTTACTTTTCTTTACAGGGTTATGTGTATTACAAGCATTTCCTTGTAGAAGAATATTGTAAGTTTTTAAAGTTAATTAATCACTAATTAGATTACAATTTGCATATATTTCCCCATCAATGGTGACTGTCATTTTCAATGAAAGTTTTTCTACAATCACTCCAAACATGAATGTTTTTTTTCTCCCTTTGATATTTTGTCATTATATGTAGTGATTTGAAAGTAACTTAATCATGTGATGTGGGAAGTATCTTATTAATTTCAAGTGACATATCTCTAGCGATAGGTGATATATTTTGTGACAACGATGTGAGATATCTAGTGATAGGTGACAGATCTTGTGAGATATCCCAGGTGACAGGTGAGATATCATGAGTGACAGGTGAGATATCACGAGTGACAGGTGAGATATCTTGAGGCATATAGGTGAAATATTTCTAGTGATAGGTGACATATCTATATATACACATATAGTGACAGTGGGGATACTGATAGTGACGGATGAGAAATCTCTAATGAAAGGTGTGAAATTTCCAGATATCAATAGTGACAGGTGAGATATCAATAGTGACAGGTGAGATATAATAGTGTTAGGTCAGATACCGTAAGTGATTAGTGAGATACCTTTAATGACAGGTGTGATATCAATAGTGACAGGTGAGATATCAATAGTGACAGATGAGATATAATAGTGTTAGGTCAGATACCGTATGTGATTAGTGAGATACCTTTAATGACAGGTGAGATATCAATAGTGACAGGTGAGATATCAATAGTGACAAAATAGTGACAGATGAGATATAATAGTGTTAGGTCAAATACCATAAGTGATTGGCGAGATACCTTTAATGACAGGTGTGATGTATCTTGTGAATGGTGAAATATCTACTATTATGTAGTTTAGTATCAATTATTTCTTCTAAAGAATTCCCAAAGATGCTCATGTGCTAAATGGAAATCTTTTGTTTCATTGTCTAGGGGACCCAAGATTTGATGTCAATGTGACTGTCCGTCCTTATATCATGGACAATGTGGATTCTGTTGGTGGTGTCATCAACGCAAAGTAATTACCCTTTAATGTATCACACCTACAAATAATTGTCTTCAATTTGATAATTATATAATTATCTAATTATGAAATTGAATTTAATTGAAATTTAATTTAATTATTTTATTTTCTAATTATGAAATACAAATTAATATAAAAAAAATATAAAATATAAAAGGGATGAATGTAACCAAAATAAAAACCAAACATTCTATTGTCAATATTTTTCATAAATGTAGATCAATATACATATATATATAATGATAAGTAAATGAATCATTTAATGATACAAACAGTATGACAACTGGTAAGCCTGTGGAAGGAAACGCCTCTGTGTTGCTGACAGTGATACCCCCTCCAGACCTTCGCTATGAGAATACTGATGTAACCAACACCAATCCTGCCCTGTACACCCCTATTACCATGACAGAAGTGTACGACTACGTAAGTGGCCTAGAAATCACTTTCTTCTGGTTTATATATGATTTACGATGTCCATCCTCAAGAAACTTTCATACTTCAAACATTTTTATCGAAGATCACATATATAATTATGCTACCTCTATGACAATATTCTACAGTGTCTTTCCTTTCATGCTTCCACTAGCTTCCAATTTTTGTATTATTAATTATTAGATCCATACAGTAGTTTTCGCTCTGGCCTGTACACCAAATTTTCAACAATTTGAACAGCAAATTGTCAAGACTGGGATTACTGTTATCAGAATATGAAAATATCTTGCCCTGTTTGGTGTCTCTAGATTTTAAGTAGCTAACGAAAGAAATCTGCTATGCCATAACACATAGGCCTTGTAAACCATGTACTGTCCCTAATACCTAGTAACAATGGCCTTGTAAACCATGTACTGTCCCTAATACCTAGTAACAATGGCCTTGTAAACCATGTACTGTCCCTAATACCTATTAACAATGGCCTTGTAAACCATGTACTTTCCCTAATACCTAGTAACATAGGCCTTGTAAACCATGTACTGTCCCTAATACCTAGTAACATAGGCCTTGTAAACCATGTACTTTCCCTAATACCTAGTAACATAGGCCTTGTAAATCATGTACTGTCCCTAATACCTAGTAACAATGGCCTTGTAAACCATGTACTGTCCCTAATACCTAGTAACAATGGCCTTGTAAACCATGTACTGTTCCTAATACCTAGTAACAATGGCCTTGTAAACCATGTACTGTCCCTAATACCTAGTAACAATGGCCTTGTAAACCATGTACTGTCCCTAATATCTAGTAACATAGGCCTTGTAAACCATGTACTGTCCCTAATACCTAGTAACAATGGCCTTGTAAACCATGTACTGTCCCTAATACCTAGTAACATAGGCCTTGTAAACCATGCACTGTCTCTAATACCTAGTAACAATGGCCTTGTAAACCATGTACTGTCCCTAATACCTAGTAACAATGGCCTTGTAAACCATGTACTGTCCCTAATACCTTGTAACACTTTCATTATGTCATTACTGCCCATGAAGCTCAAGCTACACCATTGTCACCTTTACCGTTTTGTAGAGTATTTAAGTGTGGCATTTTTGACTAGAGGAAATGTGTTGACTGTAAAGTCACCTGTTTAGTCTTTTCTTTTCAGGTTAAAGGTCCAATTGCATTCAACTTTAAGATGTCGGAGATATTACAGCGAGTACATCGGTACTGGCCACAATATATCGGCTGGCCAGGATTGACTGATTTTGAGCTCCAGTTCAACGCCTCTGTATATGATTGGTTCTTCAGTATGACCAAACAAGGTTATGCCAGTACGACTATCTTCAGCTCGCGCACACGACTTCAGTGGGTTGGTGACCATGTTCGCACATTCAAACCTGAAACTACAATGACTGTACAGGTAGGAAAGTCAGCTGGTCCTACTGTAAAGATAAAGTAGTACCGTATATCAATCAAGAGTATAATTATATCAAGTTTTTAAAGCATGTTGTTTTGTATCACTGTTTTTATTTTTTTTTTTTTTTTCTGTATCGAAATTGAAATGTTACAAAAAATTTGTTAAGTCTCAAATTACCAGTCATTGTCCATAGATTTTTTTTTTCCCGTTTCAGAATATTTTCTTGTCATGATTTTACCAACAAATGAAATAAGGCAACATGCTTAGCTTTAGAAAGTTCTCTCCTTGTTATTATAAACAAAGTTACACATCAGAGTAGATGAAATAGAGAACTGAACAACATTCTCAGAAGATCTCTTCAGAATGTTGTCAAGTTCGCTATTTCGTCCACATTGTTACTTTCTGGACTAAATTCTTTATTTCCCAAGAATTCAATTCTACAAGAGCATACCATCTTTACTGATTTGCATATATCGGGTCATTGGATCTTTTTTCTGTTATAAGATATACACATCAATTAGATAATGGATACAGTGATAAGTAGTATATAACACAACCAGTTATAGTGCTTAATGATAGCACTTGATGATTATGACAAAAATCAGTCTGAAAGTCCTATTGAATGAAATGCACAACAGACAAATTGTCCATACATACTTGCCCTCCCATGCTGAATCTATACAGATCACAAGCAGAGAAAATCTCGACACAAGAATGTATGGAGAGACATTTATTTAAAACAGATGTCTAGTATCAGTAAAAATAATGCTTAGTAATCAACTTTAACACAACTTTTGTGTAAGTGCATGTAATAATGAAGTTGGAATAAATTTTGTTGAATGTTCTATATTTTTATTAGGTAGCTGTTATGAAGTATGATGGCACGCCAGTGTCATCCTCCAAATATGTCCGTCTTATTCTGGAGCCGCGCTACAGTGGCACAGGAGGAGGTGCACCCATTACGGGAGGTGCACAATACATGAAGACACCTGTCAAAGGAATTGTGCAGTTCTCTATCCCAATTGATAAACAGATTGCTTCACTCAAGATAACGGTCAGTTAAAATCAAGCTACATTTAGATAAAATCACATATAGTTGTACTTGTAATCTTGTACTCGTATAACTTGATGACATTGTTTTATTTGAAACATTTCATCAGTCCATGACTAATCTTACACAAATCATTCAAACTCACTTGAATTGAATGCTAAGTAATCTTGTAGTATTTCCTTGGTCCTGCAAGATCTAGATGACAAGGTTTAAATGTATTTAGTCATTATAAGAGGTTGTTTGATGCCAGCCAATCCAACACCAATCCTTACCAAGTGTGTTGTTTTAAATTTTGGAACTGCGGCTGTTTTAATTTCTTCAGCTTGAATTCCAGGACCAGTATGATATTTGCTTTCTTATAATTTCAGGCCCAGTATGATGGTGACCCATCTACCGATATCCAACTCATGGCAACCAAATTCTACTCTCCAAGCAACAGTTACATCACTGTGTCAACATCCACCAGTTCTCCAAAGATCAATGAATATATGATTTTCCATGTGAAGACCAGCAACTACATACCTAGAATATATTATCAGGTAGATATTTCCAGATCTAACCATACATAGGACATATCAACATATATAAAGTTTCAATACGCTTCATGTGGAAATGTTTACTTGCTCTTTATTCTAATGTGCTGTAAATATTCTATCAAGATTTTTACTTGCTATCTGTTGTTATGCTATACAAAGTCTGTTGACATGTTTAACTGTTTAATCTGCTGTTTTGTCTAGATCGTCGCTGGAAGTAATATCATTGTGGGCGAAGAATTAGAGATGAAATCCCGCAGGAAGACCTTCTCCATTGCTCTGTCAAAGGAAATGGTACCGACAGCTCGTATTGTTGTATACTATGTATCTGGACAGCCAGAGGAGATCGTCATTGACACACTTACGTTTTCTATTGATGGAATGAAATCCAACCAGGTAAAAACACTTTTTAATTGATTCATGGGGTTTTGTCAGAATATCATAGCCTCAGTCATGTGTCCAGTTGTTAAAACATGACGTAGACATTCAAAGAAAATATGTAGTTTAAAATCTGGTCTGAAATATCATCATTGGAATGTATCAGATTTGTCAGACCACCATCTGCTAATTCTGTGGTTTGTCCATCCATTCGTCAATTGTGAGAGGACCATAAAGGGCCAGGGCCATGGCTCTCTTGTTATTGTATGTGAAGGCGTGTTATAGCCGCCTTAATTTATATTTATTATAGCCAAAATAAAACATGGATATAACTTATGTGTGCAACAAAAAGCTGAGGTAACCAATAGCACATATGTGACTAGGAAAGCACATGAACGGTCATATTTCCTGTAATTTTACTGAATTAATGTATTGTATTTCCAAGTACATTATTCATGAAATAAAACTTTTCTGCTCATTTCATAACATAGATTGCAGCAAAGAAATGTCAACATACTGATATTATAAGCAACACACAGTCAAAAATAATCCTTTTATCTAAACACTTCAGGTAGCAACCAAAAAAACATTTAATTGATTATGAAAAGAGTTAGACAGTAAGAAACCCTTTTAATTTTTGGGGTCAAAGGTCAAGGTCACACAGTTACTAGGTGCAAGTGAAAATGTTTGTATGATGCACTTCTCTATCTAGATAGTACAGAATCAGAGATGCAATATAGATTATTTTTTCTATGCAGTTATTATAAATACCTGTTTTTGCTGTACAGGTTGGAGCCAAGATAAACCGAGGAAAGGACTTTACTAGAGATACTGTTGAAATCATGGCCACAGCTGATCCAGGCTCCTACCTAGCTTTTGCTGCTATGCCTAGTGATCTTTATGTGCGAGGAATTAATGATGGACTCACTGAGTATAATGTAAGTACGGAATCTATAACCATTCAACTAAGGTTGTACGCTGAAACTTGTGGTTAAAAGTTACCTCCATTGATTGTATGAATACATTATAAAAAGATTTTATACTGATAACTGTTTGTGATTGTGGAAGTAAAATGTGAGGGAAATTTGTGCAGTATATATGGTAACATATGACCCGAAAATTATTTTATTTTAAATGGAACAATGTTTAGAGCTAGGGCAGGTTTTATGTATTCAAACATCAGTACCAGGCAGATAGGAATCCCATATAATCAAGTGTAAATTTCACCAGCCCTCGTATGTCAGAGATTTGTTTTAAAGACAATTTTTATGTAGTTCATTAATTCTGTTCTTTATAGCTAGTGGATGAGTTGAACAGTTATGACGCCCCTGCCCGAGGCAGTTACCAGCATCTTTGGCGACTCAGCGAGACAGAGTATGAGTACAAGTTCTTCCTGGCACAAGGTTATGGCATCGACAGCTTCACAACCTTCCGTGTATGTAGCACAAGCATAGGAACAGCAGATTCTCTCTAAAATACTAATGTCACCCTTACAAAGTTACCAGCCAAGGGTCAAAAGCTGGCTATGGATCAGTGCCCAGTGTTGAGTCTGTATCCAGATGTGGATCACATTCAACAACTGCTGCAAATTCATTATACAAAGTTGATTATATGCATGGGACCAATGGCATTTATGTGTTACAGACATTTGCTGATTTTTCATTCATAAATCAGATTTTTATTTTGTCTTATTAAAGTATATCAGGAGGCAAAAGTCAAATGTAGGACATAGTTTCAGTTTCTGTTTTATCCATGAACAGAGAAATTCCACCTATGATATATTATGATAAGCTGTTTGAGTTTTTTCCTTTTTTTGATTAATAAATTTTTTTGTATTAACTTTCAATTTTCATTGTTCACAAAAGAGAAAAATCCCACTTATGAAATATGTTGATCAAATGCTAGTTTTCTTTGTTTTTTGTATATTTTGATCAATGAATGCATTGTATTGACCTTGTAGGATTCTGGACTGCTGGCCCTTTCTGATGTTACCATCAACAGAGTTCCAAGTAAGTTCTGTGATATGATAGATTCCCAAACAGTTCATGTAATTGTATCCCTAGTAACCAAAGTAACCACGATAACTTTAATCTGAATATTTTATATGCCAAACGACTCAATACTTTAATGTTTAAGGAAATTTGGGAGATGACTTCTTCATGGCTAGAGAAATTAAGTCAAGATCTGAAAGACGAAATTACAGAAAACATCATCATAGTCATTTCAGTGAGATGATAGTCTGGGCAAGAATGTCTTAAATTCTGTTTTATAAGGTATCCAGATGAGGTGTAGCAATCATTGCAGTGAAACCTAAGTCAGGGCAGATCTGTAATTTATGCCTGTTTATCTGATGATCTAGTTAGGTTGTAAAATGAAGCTGGATGTATCTGATGCTGATTAGTAGGCCTGATATTTCTGTTGCTGTTTAACTTTATCTAATTTGAAAATGTGAGGTTGTGGGGTGTCATCGATGAAGCAGAAGACTCTTACTCTTCTGGAGCACCTGGTCTTATTCTCCTTTTGTTTTTCAGGAGTCTCCATATAAATCTTTCCTTTGTTTATATTTTGTCATTGATTGAAAAGAAATAATGAATTGTGAAAAAGTTTAAATTTTTCTGTACGAGGGACATCTTTTAGTTCTTGCTGGCTGCTACTTTGGATGATAATACATATGGATTCTTCTAAACAATGTTTCCAGATCAGTGTGAGTTGGAGCCTGACACCATTCCATGTTTTGATGGGACCTGTTACCACAAAAACAAGACCTGTGACAAGAACTTTGATTGCGTCACTGATTGGTCAGATGAGGAGAACTGTAAGTTATCAATCTCAGGACTATCAGATATACAGAATTAAACTGCCTTATATTTAAAACATGTGTTTGAAAGGTAGATGAAAGCAGAAACATTAAGTACTGCATGGTTATTTATAATTTGAAAATTGGATAATGCTTCATCTAAAATTTGATTGCATTACTTACAATGTGAAAAAAACCTAAATATAATTTTGGGTGAATGGAGGGGGGAAGGAGCCAAGCCCTCCTCTAGGTGAAACCAGTCAGCATACATAGCCCTAATGACGCTGTTCCCTTGGCAAAAACAAATGGCATATATGAATATATTATTTATATGTAAATCAAGCTCCGTTAACAGATGATGTCAGGTTGTGTTGTGATTGCACCTCCTTGTTCATAGATGAAATTTAAATACGATGTATCATTTATGAAGGATGTAGATTATTATATCTGTAACTCCAATGAGTACTCTTGTATTGTATCTGAGTGAGACTTGATATGATGGACAACTATCTGTTCCAGGTCCAAAAGAAGACCCACGTTACAACAACAAGACAACAAATATGATTAATCGTGTGAGCCGCGTGCTGAGATTTTACGAGGACAGTGGTTGGGCGTGGCAAGAATACTTCACAAAGTAATGCACACTTTCATATATGTGGATAGAAGAGTACTCAAGAAATAGACAGAAATAAAACCCCTCAAAAAAGAACTATTTTTACAGAATAGCTCTATACAGTTTGGAAATCTAATCATAAGATAATCATTGTGGCTTTGAAAATTGGAGTAAAGAAATAAGATTTTCATGTATATGTAGATTTGAAAGGTTTAAATCCTACATTTATTTCAGAAGAACAAATATTTTGATTTGGTAATTTAATACTTTATTTGTTCATGTTGTGTTGTAACAGTTACCGGTATTGTTTACCTTGACAGGCCTGATGGAGAGGTCGATTTCCGGGTCAACGTTCCTAAATACCCACTAGAATGGGTCATCAATGGAATTTCCATGAGTCGAAACCTTGGTCTAGGACTGATGCCGCAACCTCTGCGGGTAAGATACCCCTACAATTAGCCATTTCTTCAATATTAAATTAGCACTGCAATCAGTGAAACATTTTAGTGATGTCTTTTTATATACCAAAAATCATGCAAAAAATGATTAAATGCCTTTTTTCATATTAGGACTGTTAATGATAATGGGACTTGACATATTGAAAAAATATGAAAATTTATTTATGTAAAAGTTATTACCCTATATAATTTTGTGCTGCAAATATTTGTCATGGTTTTGCACCAGATAGGTAATTTTTCACAGTTCACCTTTAATAAGCCTTTTTTTAATCGCCCATTCAGAAATTTCCTTATGATTAATGAATAATTGATTTTAATCAAATGTTATTAAGTGTTTGACCTTTCCGTTTGACAATATTAAAACAACATCATGATCTGAAATTTAATTCCTATTCTCTAAAACTACAAGACCTATGGTCATTAAGTGTTTAAACATATGTATTTTGATGATTGCTACACCACCAATGTAACCTGTTTACCCATTTCATTCTGAAAACTCTGAAAGTCCAATGATTATTGATATGTACAAAATATTTTCTGGTTGTAACTAAATGTGAAATTTAGTGTAATTGCCATATCAGACAGGTTTATTTATTTGTCAGACTTATTTACCTAAACGATAAAATCTGAAGCACACACAGATAACCTGATTTAGTGTCGGTGCTGATATAACTGATATCTTGCCTTTACAGTACGATGCCACCCGCTACATGTACATAATCGTGGAATCAGCAACACACATTATCCGAGGAGAACAGATCGGTGTCAGAGTCACAGTGTTCAACTACTGGTATGCCTCCGACTTCATCGAGGTAAATTTAAAAAGTGGTTCTATAATCAAAATTAGATTTAAACACTGAATTTTCAATTATAGATTAATGTAATCAGCCTGTGATTTGAGAGAAATCGGTTAGGTAACCTTATTTGCATATATCTGGATTTAGGCTGTTAATTTGAAAAAAACTTGTTAATATTTCCACCCCTAGCATTTCTCAACCCTTTAGAAAACAAAAATAATAAAATGAAAAAGATTTTTAGCAGGAATTTTATGGAATTTGAATGACCTTTATAAACTTCTACTTTTTTTTATTTCGTTATTTCATGTTATGTGTATATATATTTGTATTATTAAGAGTTAATATTTTCAGGAAATTTAAAGAGTTGTTTACTTGAAGGTGCTTCTTTCTGACGGTAATATGTGAATTTTTCAGGTTCTGGTCACTATGGAAGGTTCTCCAGATTATGACTCTGTACTAGTAGGGGAGGAGGGCTTCGTAACATCTTATAGTCCTACACGACACAACGGTGACCACCAAACCATTGTCTTCGTAAGTTTTCTATTATCTAACTTTAACCTTAAGTAATTGTTTGTAGAATATCCTTGTCATGTGGATGTGAATTTTCTCTCTCATCTTGTCTCACTTTTTCTCTGTTTTTCTCTCTCGCCTTGTCTCACTTTTTCTCTGTTTTTCTCTCTCGCCTTGTCTCACTTTTTCTCTGTTTTTCTCTCTCGCCTTGTTTCACTTTTTCTCTGTTTTTCTATCTCATTCTTCCTTTATCTCTGGTTTTCTGTCGTTTTCTTTCCTTTTTTTCTCTCTCTCTTTCTGTGTCCTTTAACAAAATTTTCCTTCTTGTTTGTAGCTTGAACCTGGTGAGTCCAAAGACATCCTGATGCCCATCGTCCCCAACATGGTCCAGGGCAACTTCACCTTCACTGTCAGTGCCTGGTGCTTCCTGGAGCGGGACTCAGTGACAAAACAAATCTATGTTACAGTAAGTATTTATGTCAAGGATACCATAAAGATTCAACACCAGTGGTAGATGTCATCATGACGATAGTTTTACTACGTAAAAACAAAAACGTGACGTCAATGTTAGACTTGTGTCCATTTATTTATATTGAAATTGATGACGTTCAGTCTTTCAAATAGTTGATTTTTACACTAAATATAGACATGATTTGATAGGGTGATAGAATTATTGACACTGTTGTGCGTGTTTTACCAGGGTGATGGTGTTCTCAACTATTACCACACACCCTGCCTGATAGACATGATCACCTACGGCTCAATCATCATCCCAGATCTCAAGGTCAATGTGTCTGACCAGTTCATCACACCAGAACAGCGTTACCATAATTACGTTCCTGGTTCAGGTGTAGGCCACCTCAGCCTGTTTGGTAAGTAAAGTATTTCTCATTAACTCAAGACATTTGGGGATTGCAATTTCCCAGTTCATAGAGCCCTAGTCTTTACTACAAACGGTAAAGATCCGAGATATGTAGTTTGATGTTCCCTGTTTGGAGGTAGGTTGTGGAAGTTGAGTCCACAGACCTTCCTATGCCATTATGGTTGTTCTTGAAAAGAAATGTGACCTCATGTGGCAGGACTTCCTTCATTGAGGTAGCCATTGGCTACTGCTAGAGACCCTGTCCCAGAATGACACTTTCTATACACAGAGCGATTAACTTGGCACTCTCTGTGAAAAGCATTCTTGCAGTGTCATTCATGGAATTACAAATTTATCCTTATTGTTTGAGTACAAAAATGTTTGATGCATCCTTTCGAGAAAATGTGGATAATTGGAATAAAAATTTGTGTTGTTGATTAATAGGTGATGTTGTCACGCCTGGATTCTTCGTGGACTATCCTACAGCAGAAGATATCATGTACCGACCATATGGAGCAGGAGAAATGAATATGTTTAATTTTGCTTTCAATCTCATCACACTTAAATTCAAGAAAGCTAATCAACAGTTGCCTAATGACATCCTAAAGCGAACGCTGCACTACATGAACATAGGTTAGTATAGTGCTTCATGGAAAGCTCCTGACATCAGCTATTAATTGTTATCTCTGCTGTTTTGATTTTATGGGAGGCGGCATATAGCTGGTTCATATTGTCCCAAATCTATGTCCTGTTCTCAGAATCTCTCAACAGATTAAGTTCAAATTTACCAGTTAGTATCATAACACTAAGTTCTATTGTTACACCTCATCTCAGTATGGTTTTATAGTTTGCATATGTAAAGAACTGGGGCATTCAGAACTTAATACACATTGTTTTAGATTTTCATTGTAATAAAACGTGTAACTGTGGTTTTAAATCTACCTTCTGTTTTTATCTGTTGGTAGGTTTGCAAAGACAGCTGAGCTACATGAAAGAAGACGGATCCTTCAAGATGTTCCGAGACGACAACAGATCAAGCATTTGGTAGGTTTCTTTATAGAGAAAAATGTATTGTTCCAAGAGGAAGAAAAGAAAGTAGAACCAGAAAGACATTTACCAAAATATTTAATATAGAAAACAATATACAGAGGTCATTGAAGTATATGTCAAAGTTTAATTGAAATTTTTTTCAGTTTAAAAAAAAACTTAGATGTTTTTGCTTCTTGATATTTAAAATATGGCTCCTTTATTGTAATGTATAAAGCATATGACAAGTTATTTGTAAATGTGCCCTTTACATAATTAGAATGATATGGAATTTTCATGGTAAGACCAGAAAGCCTTGATAAAACAAGCAATTTAACGAAAGTGTTGCAATCTGTTCTTTAACTATACAGGCTAACTGCCTTTGTGGCCCAGACTCTTCATGAGGCGAGATTTGGTGAATGGGAGAAAGATCTTTTTATCAAGCTAGAACTCATCAACAAAATTGTGGTGTGGATCTGTGAGAAACAGAACAATGTGACAGGAGAATTCTACGATGATCAAGTTCCTGTGTATGATAGAAACTACGTAAGTGATAATTTGATGGAGCAGTCAGTTTGCTGTAATTTTGTCAGTTTTCACTCATTTATTACATGGTATTGAGTTATTTCCTATGAAATCCTTACATGTTGAACAATAAATAATTCTAACAAGAGAGGTGATCTTTTTTTCGTTTATTATAATCAACTTAATTTTATATTTACTTGTAATAATCAAACTTCTTTTTCTGTAGTTGTAATCAATGTTACATCTCTGCTTGTAATATCAAGTGTATGCAGTGATCAGTGTTGTTTGTGTGTTTGTAATGATAAAAAGGTTTTTACATTCAAATTGTTAGTCATAATCAATGTTGTGCTTGTAATATCAAGAGTTTGCAGTGATCAGTGTTGTTTAAATGTTTGTAATGGTAGAAGTTTTTCTTGTATCATGACTGTTGAATTTCCTTATTTCAGGCTTCCAGAAGTGAAATGATGGCAGCTAAACTGACAGGTCACCCAGTTCCTCTAACGGCATATGTTCTCATAGCGCTGTATAAGATAACAGATGTTTCACAGGTAACTCACCCAGTTTGTCTAAAGTTATCCAGTAAGCATTAATTTTGAAATTTATGATATGATTTCACTAGGTAAAATTAAGACATCAGGGTTGTTTTTGTGATCACTATAACTGTAACACACCTAGTCAACAAATACCATATATAGTTGATATAACTGCAGTCAGCACCTGACGACTGGTCCATGCAGGCATTGCACTTGCTCTGTAGAGTTGATAAACTCCTGTCAGAACCTGACGACTGGTCCATGTGGGCCTCAAACCCACCATCTGACATCACACTGACCAAATTCTTTGGTTGGATTCAGAATGGACAAAATCAATTTATGTTAAAAAAAATTTACACATTGGAATGACTGCTTTCAATATTCAGCATGAATTTTCCTTACACACTAATTGTTTGTTCCATATATGGTATTTTCCATGTTTGCAGTCCTGAAAAAGGTGGGAGCAAACAAATCACTGCAGTCTGTTAAAAACATTGACCTGATATCATTATAGTAGATATAAAATGTGATCTAGATATTTATGAACCAATGAATCTTCTTACTAATGGTTTTTTGGGCATTGTTAAAAAATCTGTACTGTGCTGAATGCTTCAGCTGTTGAATAAAACATGTTTTAACTCATACATTTATAATTATAGGAGGCACAAAGTTGTATAGAAAAGGCCAGACAGAGAGCTTCAGAGTACCTGTCTACAAGAACCTCGGAGATAGAAGCCAGCAATCAGATCTTCCATATGGCCATCACTGCTTATGCTCTTTCCCTCAGTCAGCAGAGGAGTCGAACTATATTTGATAAGCTGTGGGCAAAGCGAAGGAAAGGTTTGTTGATGAATAAGAATTTTAATATGTACTCTACCATACATTGATATTAAATGATGTGAAAGTTTCAGAATAAAGTTGTGGCATTGATAAAATTTCATCATGAATTTAAATACAAGCATGAAGAATACAAACAGGATTCAACATTGAAAACTGGTATGATTCAAGATGGGTTTATTTCTTTTAACCAAGTAATTCACTGCACTAAATGATAAATAACACACTGTTCCCACATTTTGTGTTTTTAGTATAATTATGACAGGTGAGTGTATATTGTAATCTTTGAAATCCTCATCATAAAAATACATTTCTCTGTGCAGCTGAAGAATTCTACTTTGCTGATGACGTTGTGCGTGAGAATCCATCTGATTTTGTGAACACTGTGCGCTACCTGTTGCCCAGATTAGAGTTGATGAATGATGCGCATGCTGTACAGAGTACGGCGTATGCTCTCATGGCACACATCAATCACTTTGGATCTTCATCTGGAGATTACAAAGTGCAGCGAGACTCTATGATGCGATGGCTGCAGACCATGCGCAACTATATTGGAGCTTTTTCTTCTTCACAGGTATATTGACATTCAATAATGACAATGATTCCAAATTTCTCTTACCTTCTTGTTGCTTTATTGATAAAGTCTTATATAACTTTATTGATAAAGTTGATAAAGTCCAGTATAACTTTATGGATAAAGTCTTGCATAACCTTGCATTACTTTAAAGATAAATACTTTGTTGATAAAGACTTGTATTACTTTATTGATAAAGCCTTGTATTTATTGATAAAGTCTTGTATTTATTGATAAAGTCTTGTATAACTTTATTGATAAAGTTGATAAAGTCCAGTATGACTTTATGGATAAAGTCTTACATAACCTTGCATTACTTTAAAGATAAATGCTTTGTTACTTTGTTGATAAAGACTTGTATAACTTTATTGATAAAGTCTTGTATTTATTGATAGTCTTGTATAACTTTATTGATAAAGTTGATAAAGTCCAGTATAACTTTATGGATAAAATCTTGTATTACTTTATTGATAAAGTCTTGTATTTTCACTAAGTAAACTCCTAGAATTTTTATTCTTTGTCCTCCTGTGATAAGTTTATGGAGCCTAAACATTACCTTCGTTCAGTTTAAAAGTTTGATGTTTATGTACAACAATACATTGAAAGTTGAAAATCTTCTTTTTCCATGAAAAGTGTGTGCGCTGACCTTGTCCTAATTTTCTACCCTGGTTTCTCACAGATGCAACTGGAACCATGAAACTGCAATATTAAGCTAAATATTCTCTAGCCCAGCCTCTTACAATATCCTCAGCCTATTTTTCTTATTCAGCTATTTGAATACAGAATGAGAAAGTAGTCTTGGAAAACAATTACCTGGGGCAATGAGATGGGTATTAGACAGCACATAAAGACAAATGTCAATAAAGTCTCAAACTTAGATGGAGTGTTATCACTGTATTGTGTTATTACAGGACACCCTGGCTGCTATGGAGTCTCTGTACGCCTTCACACAGGTCGACCCTAACAGGAATGTGTTTGACATGTTCATGGAGCTGGAATCCTCCGCCTCACCAGAGTGGAAATCCCTGATGATCATGTCCAAAACCAATTACACGGACCTACAGGAAGCTTTTGTACGTTTTTATTTATTTTTTTTTTCACATCTGCAAGTTTTGGAGAAAACGTCATGTTTTTTGCTTTATTATATTGAAGATAAAATGTGTGTGTGAACGTTTCAAGTACTGTAGTACTGAACAAAGTATTGATAGTATTGTACTGAAGTACTTCACCAATCGAATTCCTTAAATTTATGCAACAAGCTGTCTGATTGGCAGAGCCAAGTCTAGATCGATTGTGGGTGGAGCCAGGTGAAAAAATACTGTGCAGACATCGGCATTTTACAAACACTCGACTGTCGCGAGAGGTTAATTGGAAGAGTCCAAGTCACAGGTGGCTTCAGATCAGACCTAATTGGGTTGTCCCATTTGTTTCGTTCTACACCCAATGATACCTTGCTTTTCCATCGATGGTACAACGAGAAAACGAAAGTTACAGTACTATTTTACGACAAAATATATATCAACAGGTTAGATCACTGACCGAAAGTAACATCTTAACAGTGAATATAGTCATTCTGTACTAGTTTTATTTATTTATTTTTTTGAAAGGGGGGGGGGGGGGGGGGGGGGGGGGAGGGTGGGTATATAGATAAGCACATTATATGTAACAAAGAATTACAATTACCTGTCATATATGCCTAATTCATACTGCATTAAAAAATAAAGGAATTCTGTGTCCCATATATTTTTTATTTTATTTTTTATCTTTCCATCGAAAATTATACATATCCGCAACATGTGAAAAAACTGCTATGGAGTTTACTACTGCAAGTTCCAGAAATTCTGACACAAGTCGGGTATTTGCCCGAAGCCTCTGTCTCGTGACATTGAACATGTGTTTGACATGTTCATGGACGCCATATTCTTTCAGCATATTTTTTAAAATGCGCTCTCCCTGTCTATGGTGATGGAATCCACAATTATCCATCACAACCACATCGCCTTGTACAAAACCATATCGTTCGTATCGGACATAATTTCGTTGAAGTAAATTTTGCTACTGTTGCCGTCGTTTTTTTTCCAGCGATTACTTTAATTGTTATGTAACTGGTAGTGTACATTAACTCCGCCTACCGGAACAAATTGGGTGTCAGATAAACTATTCAGGTTGTCTAAAACCAATGTCGTTGTATGATTATTTGAATACTTCAATACAATAGTATCAATACTTTGTTCAATACTATAGTAAGTGTGTCGTTCACACCTTCCCTTCATCGGTAGTAAGCTAGATGTTGATCTATACAAAGTAGAAGGAAGTAAGGTTGGATCTCAAATTTTAATGTCCAGTTCTTGTCTTGCAGCTTCCTAAAGTATATGGACAGGTGAGAGTGACGGCCAGAGGTACAGGCAGAGCTCTGATACAGGTACATATAAAACTGATATACACAGATATTTGATGTCCTCATTCTGGTGGCTTTTTATAGAATGATAAACCCAGCAAACAGACAAATCTCACCAGTCTGAACTAAATTGTATCTCCTCCTAATAAATGGAAATTATGTACATGTGGGAATATTGTGATCTCCGCTCTATTTTTCAAGATGTTTTTTCTTGTGAAGTCCTGGTTATTCTTGGATTTTCTGCCCCACTTATATCTGCATTATACTTATTCCTAAGTAGTTCCTCTGTAGATTTGTAATCATTTTTAATAAGAAAATGAGCCATATTTTTGTACAACTGTGTGTTGATATTGATCATTGTTTGGGCCCAGGTGGATGTGAAGTGATGGCTAGGGTTTATGATTCCAATACAATGTAAAAATGCTCTTAGGAATCTGTTACATAATTATAAGCAAGCATGAGATAGCTCAACACCCGAGATGGATGGAATCAAACAAGATTTGTATAAGCATATGATTGTGTTACAAGTATTTATTTCTACATCAAGTATAGACGACTATTTTCTTTTACAGCTGACTACCACTGTGAATGTTGAGTATGCCTGGCAGATAAAAAACACAGTTGACAGTAAACAATTCTATCTACTGGATCTCGACTTCCTACAATTTACTGGAAGGAATTTCTCCACCATGGAAATGATGCCCTGTGTCAGGTACCTATTGGTTACCAGAGTTACCAAATTTGATTAAATATGAATATGTTTGTTTACGACTGTTGAGAAAAACTTACATATAAAAAGAATAATTTTTAGGGTCGTTAGTTTCAGATTAGGTTATAACATAATTTACGTTATAACAGAAATTGACATCATCATACTAATATGTATTGAATAATTGTTATTTTTAATCAGTATGGTTTTCTGTTTTATTTTCTGTTGGTTTTTTGTCAAGTGTTAATGCTTCAAAATGTGAAAATTTTGATTGGAAAAAAAATTTATTTATAAATGATACAGATTTTACATAAAATATATAAAGTAATTTCAAAATTATTGAAATCCATTATGTAATTTTATGGTAAATTTCAACAGCTGGATCTACACAGAGAAGTCCCTCACTTCTGGCCTAAGTGTCCTAGAAATTGATATACCATCTGGTTACGTGGTAATGAACGACACTTTACGAACCATGGTGTTGAACAAGACCGTGCGAAATCTTCAACGTGCCGAATTCTACAACAGAAAAGTTGTCTTCTACTTTGATTATGTAAGTTTGATATACCAAATTTAGATTTAAATCTGTGTGAATCAATTTCTTGTTAAACTGATATTGAAGTGATATTTACCAGATATTTGTCCAGTTTGTTTGAAATATATTCTGCTATATAATTGATTACATGTAAGTTACAATATATATATATATATATGTACGATTGAAGTGATAAATAAAACATCAATTAATTGTCAAATGTCTTCTTCAATTTAACTTTGTACCGTTTTTCTGTCCAATATTGTTGTGCTCATATTCACTAAAATTTACTGTCTGTGATATTAATAAAACTTAACTAACCTCCGTGTAACTGTTGAGTTTAAGTTTTATAAGTGCATTCTTTCTAGTCTTAATTAGTAAGAATATTGGTGAAATTTGTTACAGTTGGACCAGAGTAGATCGTGTGTGAGATTCAAGGCTCACCGGTGGTATCCAGTGGCTAACATGACTATCCAACACAAAATGCGGTTGTTTGACTACTACGAGCCAGGTAAGACATATTTATATCATAACCATGGTAACATTTTCCTCTTATAAATAAGATCCAATATATTTTTCAAATATTTTCTGCAAAATGTCAAAAACCACATTTTCAAAAAAAGCATCAACATTTTATTTGTCGTCTTGCTTCTTCCGAAACTGTCAAAAAAATTTATTTATGTTATTTGTTATCTTTTATCATTTGGGTTTTTTCTTCATTTTTTTTTTTTTTATCCTTTAATAGGTTTCCATAACACCACGATGTATACGACGTACAATTTGTTCAATCTCAACATCTGCTACGTTTGTGGATCCTACCAATGTCCGTACTGTCCGTTCTTCAATGTGGCGACTGTCCTGAAAGCAAGCTTTACCGTTATATCACTGATAATGGGCTTCTTCATCAAAAGATACATGCTGCGTGTAACATAACAACCCAGTCTTACTTTCCTGATATCTTGTGTGTTGACTTTCTAAATGAGTATTTTGTTGGTTAATTTTCAAAAAGGCTGTAATCAGCAATTAACAAAAAAAAAGATTCAAATCAGCAATAGACAGTGAAATGAAGGATCGCAATAGTGATTGTGCTGGGAGGGAGGTGGAACTTAATGTTTTTCAGAATATGTATAACAAGTAATATTTTCCCACTGAATTTTTTTTTGAATTTTGAAACCCTGTCGTTTTGCAACAAATATTTTTTAAAAGGAGTGATTACTAATTGATTGTGCCATTTAAAACTTGTTTAGTTGTTTATGCAATGTAAAAAGACCAATGTTAATAAGTATTTTGTTTAAAATAATCAACATTGTGAAGAATATTGTGCTGGTGATTTGAACCATTACTGATCATTGGATTGCTGTGCTACTGGACTGAAACGTCTTGAAACGACCTAGAATGTGGATTTGAAACTGAAATCAGTAAATATTACTTAAAAGTTTAATCAAATTACTATGTGATTTAACATATATAATTTTTTTTTCAAATTATTTTTGTTAGTTTCCAAGTTTCAAAAAACAAAATTTCAAGTTATAGTGCCTGTTAAAAGAAAATACGGTTCAGCCTGATCGCAGCATGTTCAAATGAGGATTGTATTTATCCTTTTTTTTCTTTGTGACAATGTTTTCTTTTCTGTTGATTCTGCATATCAGAATTTTGTATAAACAATTTTTGTACAATATGTAGATATTACCCAGGGGTGTAAATATTTTGTACAGTATGTAAATTAGATGTCACATATCAAACCATATTTTTATATCAAATCAAGAATGAGAGTATCTGCGAGATTGTTTATTCTTGTTCCTTAAACAAAACATTTCATTCCTGTAATTCATAGAAGTGGATTTCTCCAAAATGTATGTTTGATCTTTTGGGAGTGAAAATGGTCTTGAGCGTAACTGATGTGTAGTTGTATGAATGTATAACACAATATTTGGTGAATTGGAGAAAGATGACAGTATAAAACTAGAATATGGAGTATGAATACTATAAATTAATCTGAAGCAGACTGTGAAAACTACACCGGAGGTTTAGCTTCCATCTCTTCTCACTGGCTTTCTTGTACATTCTAACACAATCCATTTCTTTTAAGGATCCTGATAATATCAGATTTTTTAAGTTTATAAGCTGGAGTCTTCCATACTTTGACGTTTGATGTATGTTATTTTTCACATTTGAATGAGAGGCAGATCAAACATGTATATATGTGAGAGGCGAATTCATAAAAATTTAATTTACATGAAAATCATTCCAAGAAAAACATTCCAATCATTTTTTTTTCAATATTATGTTGAATTTCTGATACATTTCATAACAAGTGCTGGTATCTGTAATGGAGTTTGTAATGATGGATATTCATATCTACCAGAACCTGCTGTAATAGCAAGATCACAACGATCAAAGAAAATATTCTGGAAAAGAATTTTTTCTTTTATCAAGAAATCAATAATATTATTCCTTTGTAAGATTCTCACCATATGTATATAATTCCACTGACAATTACTTGACATATTTCATTTCTTTCAATTTCTTCATCCATTTTTTTTTCTTTTTTTTTTATAGTATGAAGATTTTTTCATTAACTTGAAATTTTTCATGGCAGCCTATAATTAAAAGGATTCCTAATTTATCAGATCATGTAGAATTAATATCAAGTATGATGTAATATATAGTCAAGACGAAGGCTCAACATACAAATGCTTAAAACAAAACATGTCTTAAAATGTTTTACATATATTAATCCAGGGATATCTTTTTTAATGTATGGATGTTAAGGTTTTAAATTTCAAAATATACATATTCCGCTTAAATATTGTCATTTAGTCACAGAGAAATCTTACCTACTTGATTGAATGATTTACATCTTTTACATACATATTTTGGATGTTTGTTAATACAAATAAAACATTGAAGGATTAAGTGACTATTAACTGGTAGATATCAATGTTTATTTTAAATGGAAATAAGAATCAGTATCATTTTAATTTTCTTTGTATATATTGATGTAAATGATTATAAAACTATTTCCAGCTGTTGAATACCCAGAGTCAAACCAATTGGCAAAATCTCCTCATCAGAGTTTGACTGTGGAGATCCAACAGATGTTTCCATGTAATATTGTAGTATCCAAGGTCATGTTTATAAAGGCTGCTTCCTCACCGCTTGTGTCTTCATCATTTGATCATTAAGACTGAAAATTGAAGTAGGCTAAAAGCTCTGTGATTACTCTTGATACAATATGTCCGGTGAAAACCTACATGAGTGGTAATTAACTTAAGTTGTCGATTACAAAATATAAATCCCTATTTTTCTCTCATTACATTTTGCATCTAAGTTGTTTAAAATTTGCTATCATTCTTGGATAGTTTTTTTAGAGATGTAATTTCTGAAATTCATGTATTCATGCTTCAGTGAATTCGGATGTTCAGGCAAAGTTAAAAAAATTTAGGTATATTTGAAGTTATATATTCTACGTTCATTAAAATATTTGTAAATATTTAAAAGTGATTTTACTGTACGCTACAAAACCAGTAGATATCAGTGATGGTAACACAATCTTTTTTAGAGATCAATAGAGTAAAATTCTGATAATAAATGGATACATTATATAGGTGAGACACTTCCTTTATATCAGAACTTTGGATCAAATCAACACCTCATCTGTAATTATATTCATGATAACATGTAATATACTTTTCATTTATGTAACAAACATGTAATTTTATACACAAAGATGAAATAAATTTACCATATTTTCTAGATAATATTGATTTGTGTTTTTATGACCCCTACTGACTTTAAAGTTGTTGGACGTTAAAGTTGTTGGCTGGTTAAGTTGTTGGGCGTTGCTGTTGGCTCGTATCCTCATTTGTCATGATTCCATATCCTTTATTTTACCCTTTGATGAATCATGATATAGAAGTGGAATTCCATAAATACTTGGTATATGGGGAAAATGCTGGTAAGTTTTCAATTAGTTTCAGTAAGATTATTTTTCCAGAGTTATGGCCCTTGAACTTCCAAAATTTCAAAACTCTGGTTGGTTGCTTTCATTTTCTCAAAGCTGGATGATGATTTTGAACAGAAAGATAGAGGACAAGATCATATGTTGTTCCAGTTGACTTGTATTTTCAGTTTAGTTTGTGCTTTTTTTTATCAGGATGGAGATGTCTGCAATTTGATATTTAGTTGTAATGTTTGCACAAAGTCAGCTATTTACTTGACGTGTGTCATCAGGCATGGTCAACCAATGACAGTCTAGAAAGCCAAGAACACAACTGTTTAAAAGCTGAAATTCTCTGTACACCAAATCTGTAGCCAATGCAGAATTTTTACCACAATGAAACATCTATTTTTAACAGTTACCAGGTATCCTTGAACTCGAATTTTTTTTTACAATTGTGACTATCCTACATCATATCGCCCTTTAAAAGTTGCTGTAATATTAAGACTTACCAGCATGACTTTACCATAGGCATGTACACTTACAGCTATTTCCTATGTTCCTCAACATGTAGACTGATAGCTATAACCTTATAGTTACATGTGGACTTCAGGCTATATCCTACCTTAGCGAAACACATAGACTTACAGCTATACCCTACCTTAGCAACACATAGACTTATAGCTATATCCTACCTTAGCGAAACACATAGACTTAGTTATATCCTACCTTAGCGACACATAAGACTTATAGCTATATCTTACCTTAGCGACATATAGACTTACCGCTATATCCTACCTTATTGTTACATGTAGACTTAAGGCTATATCCTACTTTACAGTGACATGTAGACTTAAGGCTGTATCCTACCTTATAGTTACATGTAGACTTAAGGCTATATCCTACTTTACAGTGACATGTAGACTTAAGGCTATATCCTACTTTACAGTTACATGTAGACTTAAGGCTATATCCTACCTTATAGTTACATGTAGACTTAAGGCTATATCCTACTTTACAGTGACATGTAGACTTAAGGCTATATCCTACTTTACAGTGATATGTAGACTTAAGGCTATATCCTACCATATAGTTACATGTAGACTTAAGGCTATATCCTACTTTACAGTGACATGTTGACCTATCGAGGCACGACCTCTAACAAATAATAAGATGGGACATGTTTCACTGAAACGAAAAGAATTGTCCTTGCTCAGCGATGCTTAGTTTCAGAAAAAGGGAACCAACTTCAGATTCATATCTACAAACTAACACACCTGATCAAAAAATCACTTCTCAAAATCTCTACCCAACATTTTAACCTTTGACCTACATCTATGAAAAATTTTGTGTGGGCCCGATCTTCAACACTGTTAATTATGTGAACTTTATTCTTATACTTAGTATGTATACAGGTTCGACTTGACAGTGTGTCGTGTACCAGAAGTACGTCACTTTGTCCTACATTTTGACCTTTGCCTTACATCAAAGGAAAAGCTTTGGCAGGAACTTGGTACTTGGGATATCAGGTCATTCTTTACTGATAAGGACAATGTGTATTAAAAATGTTCTTGATTTTGTTTTATCAATAATTGAACATTTTCACAAACCAAAAGTTAACTATTAGCTAATCTCTGAACAAGGGCCTGCATCCAGGAAACAAAACTAAGACAATGTTTGAATAAAACTGATTTTATTGATGATAAATTCATTCAACGATTTTTGTCAAATTTCACCAGAAACATACACACTGCGATTCCTCATATTCATAGCCACCGATTTCTCTCACTCAAACATCAGATTTCTATTCAGAAAAAAAAATGAATAAAAATTATTGATGATTAATTCATTCAATGATTTTTGTCAATTTTTTTGTTTTATCAATAATTGAACATTTTCACAAACCAAAAGTTAACTATTAGCCTCTGAGAAACACACTGTGATACCTCATATTCATAGCCACCAATTTCTCTCACTCAAACATCAGATTTCTATTCAGAAAAAAAACAGGTGTAAAAGTTGATCAATAAATCTATTGTACCCATAAATTTAAGACATAAATTATTTTTTTTGTCACCCAAGTATTAACAAAACAGAATTAAGATTGTATTGAATAATATTCTGATTAGTCCAGCAATTTCAAGTTAAACTTATAACCCCACCTCTACCCTAAAGACCTTCCACTACCTCGTTCACACTAAGTGAAATAATGATTGCACATATTCACATACCAACATAATAAATATCTACTAGCAAACCTCTTAATGTGAAAACTACACCATTATGTGACATTATTTACTATGAAATGAAAATTTGTGCTTGCCGAAATTTGAATTTTAACTCCTGACAACAATTTAGAAAAGTTTTGTATTTGAAAGGAAACTTAATCATCATCAGCGGTATTAAGAAAGCAAATTTTCAATTTCAATTTCAGTAAAAACCAAGTAAACACAAATGAAAATAATCTTATTTGTAACAGATCTCTCCGGTTGGAAGCTGAAAATTTAACAAGTTGTACCTGCCATGTACCATGGATTAGTATTTCTTAATCAGATAATTAACAGATAAATGGACGGAGCTCTTCTATAAAATTACACATAAAACACCATAAACACAATACTTAAGAGATAACAAGAACACATGCATAAACAATACACTAAGGAATATAAGGAAATTTGAAAAATTACCAAATTTAAACAAAATGAAACTATTCTATCACAATATTATAATTATTACATAAATAAGGATTATAGCAACAGAGAAATTAAATTGAACAAACAAGAATTAGATTCAAAGTGAAGCACCGACAAAGTACAACGTAATAGAGATATATCTATATACAACACGTGTAACAGACAACTATTAAATAATAAAATCCGTAACTTACAGATTATCTGACAAAAGATAATTGTATTCCTTACATTTTACGTAAAATAATCCATCGATCCACAACTTGCTTTTACTGCTGTTTAAAATATTTACATGTTACACCAATTTGGTATGGGATATGTTCATTTCTGAAATCTTTAAATCATGAAATTTTTGAATTCAAGAAATTCTTTCACTTCAAATCAATGAGATACGCGTCTAATCCTATATGATGTCATGATAAATGTCCATTTTACCTCATACTCACAAATGACATGTATGATTTTAAAAAAAATTATCGTTTACAATGTATACATCGTACTTGTTAATGTACCATGCCCAGGCATCGACCAAAACTTCACTTAGAAAATGTCCTTAAATATACATATACTTTATTCTATTTTAAATTTCATTTTTCCTCTCTTAAATTTCATTTTTCCTCTCTTAAATTTCATTTTTCCACAATTTTTTTTAATCTTTCAACAATTTATCCATTGTTTAATGGGTAATTTCTCTATTACAAATATTTTGCTTCTTCAACCAATGCCGAAGACATCACTAACCATGAAATTTGTCAATTCAAGCCTTGCATGGTAGAGGTGTTTTTGGTTCTAAGTATAGCACTGTGAATATATTTTTAAAATAATCAGTTAAAAAACGATAATGTAAAAGCTTTTAAAACTGTAAGATAAATTCTCATAAAGTATGTAGTATGAAAAAATTAAAAATTACAATTTTGGCAAATGAATTTAAGTCTACTGCAAGTAACAATTACTTCCATGTATCTTAGTATGTACATACAAGTTAATAGTTTTCTCTAGTGTCATTTATATAGATCATGAACACATAGTTATCTTGTAACTGTATTTCATACAACTGAATGTCTCCATCCCTTTTTTGGTAAGAGCATTCCAGCATTCAATATTGTCATCAGACAGTGCTTGTTTTGAATTCTGGGATGATGTGCAATCATTTTATTTTTTTCCAACAGCCAAACACTATGGACGCTTAAGTTGAAAATGGTTCCATGTTATATTCAGACTTGAAGTTTAAGTGTCCACATCACTGGTTGTATGGAGATTCAATTTTGCCTTCAGAATATTTGTAAAAGCAATATTTAAACATTGTAGTTTTGATGCCCACATATGGTTTTCAACATCGCCAGAAAAAACCAAAAACTAAAATTAACTACCTCTAACTCTACCCATAAATACTATCCTGATCATTTATCATTAACTAAATTGTCCTGTTCATCAAAATTCAATTTTATTTTACAAAAATACACATTTTGACAAAGTTTATTTATTCTTGCACCATTTAATTTTTAATGAAATGATGAAAAATTAAATGACAACGAATCATGACATCGATGTGATGCCTATGGATTTCTCCCAATCCATGTGTATTGTCTGCATCAACAAGCTATTTGGAATATTAAATGGTAACTAGAGGAACAAAAAAACTATTTTGTGAAATAATTGAAATCAAATTATTTTTTGAAATATGTATTTGATCAAATGATACCATCTATTGCTATCAATTATTGCTAATTAGAACTATGCCACATTTCTGATGTTTGCATGGATTTATGTAATTTGCGTTTCATTACATCGTCAATTTAATTTATCATAAAGATCGCTGCCTGATAATAGTTTAATCAAAATGACAATATGACAGTTAATATGAATCTTGCATATTTTTTTCGTGGCGTTAATCTCTTGCACAACCACCATAAATCTGTGTATATGATCAAACGTAAAAACAAAAAGCTGCACAAAAAATAATCTTATTCTATACAGTTGAACCTCCCTGTTTCAAACCCATATAATCCAAAGACGGCATTTAATTTGAAGCATTTCAACTTTACACAAAACATTCGCTCTCACATAAATGGCATACACGGTTATTTCAAAGATTTCCCATGGTCCCGCTGAGTTTGAGATAAAGAGGTTTGACTGTACACATCCTGGTCACATATACACAGAAAGACCAGCTCTCAGTAAAATACCTTGAGCAAGTCTATAAAAGAGATTTCAGATTATGGTACATAAGTTTATCTATTCACAGTAATCTGAATGATCAGCAGTCATTTGAAGGAAAAAATATTTCTACAAGCTGCGATAACTTAAATCATTCAGTGTTTTCATGTGCAGTGAATGACACATTGTCCTGCTGAACTGTATCATGATACATGAATGTAAAAACAGAGGAGAAACACATCACTCTGTATACAGAATTCTGAACACCTGATCAAACTATCACACAACTACAATGTAAAAACACTGAATATTTTGGCAGTACATATTTTGCTGTTGTTTTGAAATTACTTATCTCATTTTTCATGAGTTTTTTTTATGAGGAAAAACAATTTAAAACAAACATATACAAAATTGTCTTCTCAGTAGTGAAAAACATCCAAACAGATATTTTCATCGAAAAGCGAAATGAGAAAACATAAATATGTTATAACTTTTTGTAATAATGATGCCATATGGCAAATGTGGACGATTAAAAGCATGCAGAAGTGTGTTACATTTAAGTCATAGCCATAATAATCATGAAACACCTTTTTAGGAAATAAGAATTTGTGTCAAAGATTTTTTCCTTTCCAACATCATAAATCTGTTATTTCATGGCAATTGTGTCACAGCCAAGTTAACATACCATAAATTGGTTTGCTAATATAATATAAGCCTTTCTAACTACTTTCTGTTTAAAAGATATATAATAAAACACTGACTGAACTTCTCATATTTGTTAGTAATCTACATATAATTAAAGACTAGTGCATATTTTGTGGACGGAAAAATAACATTCAAGTCACAAAGCCATAAAGTTGAGGATTCTATAATTTCCAAAGCTCTCATTTTACTAGTAATCAGGTATTTATTTTTAAATCTTTTTACTTGTAGTCTGTGAATGAAAATTTCTATCAATATATCTTCCTCAATATTTTTTAAAATTATTTTTTGATAATCAAATTATCACTCTTAACACTTAACTTCTCTCTGCAAATTAATCAAAGCTGATTTTCAACTTAATAAATTAGGTGACATTGTGACAGACATTATGGCCAGGAGAACTGATAAGTAGTAATATGTCATAACACCAGAGATAAGGGAGACAACTCCTCCTAGTCCTCTCCATCAGAAGACACGTACAGGAGTTCCTTCTTTTCACTACTCTCCATGGCCTCTGACAGCCCTTCATGTTTCCGTAACTTTTTCATACTGTGTCGCAGAACCTCTTTCATGCGTTCATTTTCTGTGTTGGCTGACCTCCACATGACCTCTAATTCCTCTTCAACATCTCTGCAATATACACATATTGCATAAATTTTCTTCCTTTTGAAACCTTGTCACATTTATATTTCAAGAATCTTTATATCAATCAATGTAAAACATAAAGAAATAAAAATAATAATTAGTGGAAACATTACAATAATTTTACTCCTGATTATTCTGATAGGTAAACAAGTTACCAGGGTTCGATAGTCACACTTACTTCTTATCGTCCGCAATGTTGTTTATGATTTTTTCTTTCTCTGACACCAACAGTCTGAGATGGTTGATTTCTCTCTCATACTCCTTCTTCTGGTTACTGAAGTTAACATCTTGCTCTTTTAATCTGAAAACAATTTTACTCATTTAGCAGTAGATTATACAAGATATTTTTATTGTCGACAATCACAGGAAGGAATTCTCTTCCTTCTCCAACACTAAATGAAATATTTTCATTTTGATAAACACATTCTACAAATCTGCAGTCCACACCAATATATAATGTGTTTAAGCAAAGATTCATTAGAATCAAATATGTAATCTCCAAGTAAAAAAAAACACAAGGAACTTCAAATGTTATCTTCTACAACAGATCACATGACCGTTGACCCAAGGACATGAAGAGCAATCCCTTAGAACCCTTTCACACAAACAAAATGTGTACCAAATATGGGCATAAATTACCCAAAGGAACAGAAGCTATAATATGGAAACTGAAATATTATTGTTATTCTATCTTTAGTAAGAGGTTTTGCGAACTTTCGACCAACAAAGCTGAAAAGCAATGCTATGTGCCCTCTCCGCACAATCAACCAAATACAGTGTGGTCATGATAAGCCAATAAGAACAGAAGCTTGGAAACCTAAAATGTAGTGTTTTATCATAGAAACAACAGAACAATTAACTCTATTTCTATCCTTCCTTTAATCTACTGCTATATACTGTCACTCATTGATTTACCCATTCTACTCACATTCCTATCTTTTCTCACCTGCTGAAAGGTCAAAATATCTAAGGGCATATAGAAACTAGATTAACATCTGGCCCCAGTTGTTCAAAGCATGGTTCGAGTTAACCAGTGGTGAGTGCAAAATTTGAATTGTTACCACAGACAAAAATATGGAATTTCAGAGCAAAACTGGCACTAAAACTATCAATCTGACCTGTTTCAACAAACCTACAGCTGTGAAATAATAAAAAATGTTTCTAATTTCGTGTCATTCATATTGGAATATATTTTCTAACCACTGGGATAAGTAAACTTTTGACTTTTGAGGTCCTGGCCAACATTCTTGAATGTTTCATCAACTCACCTTCCTGCAACTGTGTTCAGCTTAGCAGCAGCCTTCATCTTATATAACTGTAACAGAATATACAGAATTTCAATTCAGAAATTCAATCACTTGACGGTTCTGACAATAAGCTCATGTATGGCAATAAGACCATGTCTGACAATAAGCCCATGTCTAGCCATTTGTCAATGTATGACAATAAGCCTGTGTTTGACAATAAGTCCATGTCTGACGATGTCCATGTTTTACAATAAGTCCATATATGACAATAAGTCCATGTCTCACAATAAGCCCATGTCTTACAATAAGTAAATGTCAGGCAAAAAGTCCATAAGATTGTGGCTTTATCATAGACTTGATTAAGATTGTGGCTATACACTAGTCAAAAACAAGACACCACAGACACTGACCTTTAACTTCTCCTCCATTTTACCCTTGGTCACGTTACCACTCAGTAGTCTATTTACAGCCTTTTTTGTCTCGTTTTCCTGCTCTCTTGCCTGCAACATTAAATTTGTTAAAAATCCAAATCATATTTCTGTTGATCGTAACATTTTAGATATACCAGTAACACTTCAATCAGAACAAAAACAACTTCGAAAGAAACTTTTATTGTTTTAGATATTGCATAAATTACTCGTCTTTTGTCTTTAATTAGCAAAATATAAACAGGTCTCTCGAGATACAGTAAATGTAGGTCACAATTTTTTTGTTTTTGTTTTGTTTTTTGATTTCCAAAGAGCAATAGAAGAACTGGGGAGGGATGTAGAACTTAAGGGCAAGGGAAGGGGACCTACAGGGAGAGGGGGGCTAGGGTGAGGAAAGAGAAAAAAAGGTCATCCATGATAAATACACAACATCCAATTCTGATATGGAATATAAATGTTAAGAAATCATGAGGATCGAGGAAAAGAAATATAATACAAATCCTAAAATAGTACCTAAATAGACTCCCTAATGTAACAATATATATCTATATTTATTTAAAAGAAATACTGTTACCTACATGGCATACACTTAAATACAATGTCCAATACATCTTTTCTCATTTCTTGTAGTGTGGTCAAAAATGAAAGCCAAACATTGTACCTATTTATTGTGTGGTCATGTTCAAAATGAAAGCCAAACATTGTACCTATTTATTGTCATTCGTCTTCTTTTGAAGATTTTAGTTAGTGTAATAATGAATTACAATGAGTTTCTGTTTATTTCTGATCTTGAATATTTAAATTACCTAATCCCACATCTGCAAATTTCGTTTCAATGTACATATTCCTACCTATCCTTTGATTGGTCAATGAAACATGATTATTCATGTCCTGTAATGTAAGGACAGCATGAACACTAGTCCTTGATCATAGATAGTACTCTGTGTAATGGTAGAACAATGTGTTACATGTAGAGCAAGTGAATTTTGTTGGTGCAAATGATAAATATATAGGTGAACACAGACAATACAATAGGACCAGAAACTTGAGAGTCCTTAAGGTTGGTGCATACACTTGGGTGAACAACTTGTGTGCAAGTTATGAATTTAATCAAAGACCTTGAGACTTAAAGACTCTCTGAGGTTGGTTGAACAACTTGTGTGCAAGTTATAAAAAGAACATCAATTTAATCGAGGACCTTGAGACTTAAAGACTACTAGAGGGTTTTTCCATCTGGAAATTATCCTAACTGTTCAAAGGGCCATAAATACAGCAAACAAATTAGATATTGAACTGAGCTATTCTAAAGCATGAAAGCATCATTTTCACTATCAGGTTTGTCCTCATAATGGGTTTGACTTCAGGAGATGGAGCTTCTAAACTAGTCTACTGGATCTTAAAACTTTCATGAAGGGACGACAGAAGCTAGGATTGAAAAAAAAAATAATTTAAATTATAAAATTTTATCAAATCAATATTCATAGAATTACAGAGAGATAAAACTTCACAAAAATATGACAACATCGATTTTTGAAATGTATCTGTGATATCCTTACATTGTCCCTGTATATCATTCTCATCACCAGCTGAAAAAACAGGACATCTTTAAACGTAATCTTGACTTTTTACTTAAAATTTCATGCTTGGTATATGTTAGTGATGCTTAATGACAAGTGTAATAACAAAGGTGTCGAAGAGACACAGCCAGACACTAAAGTTCCTTCACAGTCTCTGATACGTAACTATGACAAATTTGTTGTCATCAAAGGCATATTATAATGAGATTCCACGAAAGTCTAAACTGTAAGATTCCTGTATGGATACTGTAATGAGGGCACTGTTTATGCTGCTGATACAGCTTGTTACTGACCAATATATACAATGAACATCTGCATCATTTCCATCGTCGATGAACCCTATCATCAGTTGTGTAGATCATTTATCGGACGACAAAAGAATTTGGTAAATATTCTCCTGGTAAGATATTAAAACATATTACATCTGCTATATAGAATTAATTCTCTCCTATCACTTACCACTTTAGCGTAGGTGTCTCTCTCCTGAGCTGCTTTCTCAGCCTGTTAACAAAAACAGCTATAGTTACAGTATTTTTACAAAATTTTAGTCTTTGAAAAAAACCTGAATTTGAATAGGTATATATAGCAGGGCTTTTGAGTGTTTCTTGTCAATATTAATGATATCCATATCAAGGCAAAGTTTATTCAACAAAAAAATAGTTATTACTGTACAGTGTAAACACTCACCACTCGTATGATATTAGCCAGTTGTTCCTGTACGGTGTACTCTTTATTCTCAGATTGCTCCACTGCCTTCTGTAGGTACATGATTTTGGACTGAGCTTTCCTATGAATAATATAAATGTACAAACAATCAATTTTTTTAAAAAGAAAAAAAATTTGTATATTAAGATAATTTCTTAATTTCTGAATCTCCAGGTTACACTTTGGTATATATATATATATATTCACTGAAACTTTTTTTTTACAAACGTTGATAAACCAGCACAAAGGGCCTGTAATTTTATGTTCTCAAATCAAATTAATACTTCTCTAATTACCGAACAGCTTTTTGCATAGCCTTCATTTCAGCCTGTAGTCGTTTATTTTCTGCTGCCAGCTCCACATATCTGCCACTTTGTGCTTTCCTCTCACCCTGTACAGCCTGAAGAAATTTTTCAAAGCAAAACATGTCAACGAAGAAACAAGACCAAAAATTTGTGTTGTAGGAAATATCTTATCATTGTGAACTAAAAATAAGGCAAAATAATAAAATGACCCAAAACTAAAGTTATATGTTCACAATGGGTACAAGTTTGTAAAACACAATAATGCTAAGTGCAGTGTTTTAAAGATAAAAGTATAACAGCACAGAATTGCTATATGGTGGAGTTTTACTGATATAATTTAACTCTGTTGTCATCTTTTTCTATGATATATAATTTATTGTGGTCAGTGTTTTTGAGGTCAGTTTTTTGTTTGTTAATTGGTTCTTTACCTGTAGTTTTATTTTAAGACTGTCCATTTCATCTTTGTGAGCTTCCTCTTTCTCCACCATACTCCTATGAACAAAGTAAAAACATTTTTACACCTCACAGCTTTAAGTACTTGACACACAACTTAACATTTAGCTATCATATCATTGTTTGGAATCAACATATCTAACTACCATTTATGTTTTGAATATACATATATATCTTTAATTTGTTTTGTTAAATTGAGGTCTTGAAAATAAGGAGCCTAAAAAGAGAAAGATTATAATCTGAAATCTTAATCTATGACAGCCAGAATGTGGTGCTTACTTTTTGAGATCTGCTATACTGTTGATGTAGTCCTGTGTTGTAGACTTGTCTGGGGTTTCTAGCATCAAGGCATCCAACTTGTTTTTCGTGTCTTTGTACTTTTTACGTAGATCCTCCATCTCCTGGTCAATTTCTGTCTTCTCAGCTTTAATTAGCACCAGCTGTTTTGATAACTTTGACACTGTAAGGAAATCCAAGAAAAGTCACCATTAAAAATTTAACAACACATTTAAAACTTTCATTTTTGATACCATTAAGACAGTGGGCTTCACATTCTTTTATATATAAAAAAGACATGGATAACAGTTTTCCAGCCTTTCATCTAAAAAGAAAATTGACTTCATTCTTTATTGTGATAAAAGAGCACATTTGCCCTTGGCCAATACAATCATTTTGCCTTTGACCTTACCAAATCAATTTTATACCTTTGACCTTAGCAACTCACAATCCTTTTCACTTTAATCTTGGCCAATCATGATCTTTTTACCTTTGACCTTGAAAACCAGTACTGATGTAAGCTACCTAGTATCGTTGGATGTTTTACTGTTAACATCCAAATCCTGTTTCCTTACCTTCTACTAGTTGTCCTTGGGATTAGTCTGGCCTTAAAACTCTACATACTGACTCGCATTACAGTCATCTGACAACTATTAGTTTCTACATAATGTGTTAGGATTCCTTTTATGCATTACCTTCACCAACATGAGCCTGATGCATGTCTTGTGCCTACATAATGTGTTAGGATTCCTTTTACACACTTCCTTCTCGTACATGCATGTCTCGTGCCTACATAATGTGTTAGGATTCCTTTTATGCATTACCTTCACAAACATGAGCCTGATGCATGTCTCGTGCCGACATAATGTGTTAGGATTCCTTTTACACACTTCCTTCTCGTACATGAGCCTGATGAAAATCTCGTGCCTACATAATGTGTTTGGATTTTTTATGTGTTACCTTCACGAACATGAGCCTGATGCATGTCTCATGCCGACATAATGTGTTAGGATTCCTTTTATGTGTTACCTTCTCATACATGAGCCTGATGCATGTCTCGTGCCGACATAATGTGTTAGGATTCCTTTTACACACTTCCTTCTCGTACATGAGCCTGATGCATGTCTCGTGCCTACATAATGTGTTAGGATTCCTTCTATGTGTTACCTTCACGAACATGAGCCTGATGCATGTCTCGTGCCTTCTGGTCTTTCACCTCTATTTGTTCCAGCAGGTTCTGATTTTCCTCCAGTACAAGTTTGGCATTATCTTTGAGCTGGTCCCTAAAACAAATATTGAATAGATGTTAGAGTGCATGTTTTCATATGTAAAGAAACCAGACAATGATCAGAAACTCTGGTACAAAAAAGCTTTGTTAATAAATTTCTCCCATCCTTCACAAAATTGGTTTTTCCAAATTTCTCCCACCCTTCACATTAAAGTGGTTTCCTAATTTCTCCCACCCTCCACATGATTGTGTTTTCCTAATTTCTCCCATCCTTCACATTATGGTGGTTTCCCAATTTCTCCCACCCTCCACATGATTGTATTTTCCTAATTTCTCCCATCCTTCACATTATTGTGGTTTCCCAATTTCTCCAACACTCCACATGATTGTGTTTTCCTAATTTCTCCCATCCTTCACATTATGGTGGTTTCCCAATTTCTCCAACCCTCCAAATGATTGTGTTTTCCTAATTTCTCCCATCCTTTACATTATGGTAGTTTCCCAATTTCTCCAACTCTTCACATAATTGTTTTTCCCTAATTTCTCCCATCCTTAACATTATGTTGGTTTCCAAATTTCTCTCACCCTTTACAGGATTCTGTTTTCCATCAGAATAACCATCTGATCGTACATGTATTCATTCAACCTATAATAGCTTGATGTTATTGCTAGTCACATACACGATCACTATAGATCAGATTACTGCCTTACCATTCCGTGACGTCGATGGGGCCGCGTTTGACTGCGTGGTCTAGTTTTTTGTGTAGTTGTTGGTTTTCTATAATGATATCTTCAGCTTGAATGCGTAATTTTTCTAGTTCTCCCTGTAAACATACAAATTAATCACATACCAAATCAACAACAGATCCAAGCTTTTGTTAAATGAAATCTACAGTAGATGTGGATACATATAGTATTCTATGCCTGCACAGTTATACCTGAGATGATGAAATCGGAGTCATTTTACAGTTATACCCGAGATGATGAAATCGGAGTCATTTTACAGTTATACCCGAGATGATGAAATCGGAGTCATTTTACAGTTATACCCGAGATGATGAAATCGGAGTCATTTTACAGTTATACCCGAGATGATGAAATCGGAGTCATTTTACAGTTATAACTGAGATGATGAAATCGCAGTCATTTTACAGTTATACCCGAGATGATGAAATCGCAGTCATTTTACAGTTATACCCGAGATGATGAAATCGGAGTCATTTTTACCTGGTAGTGCTTCACAACATTATCCTTCTCCCGGAGCCTGTCATCATAAGCCAGGAACAGCGGAGACAAATACTGCACATTTATCTGGAAAAAGTCAATTCACTAGTTAGATTTTCAAATTTTTGGTGACTATAGTACAAAAATATTGGAATGTTAAGCTGTTAAAGCAAGCATTATTGAAATATGAGACTTGTTGATAATCTGTCTCAGGCTGTCTAAAACAGGTGACAGTTAAGCAGTGATAGATCAAAATTTTCAAATATAAATCAAACAATTATTGGAAACATTATTCATCATTTCACAGCTGAAGATTTGTTGCTAGAGATCAAATTGATAAATTTTGAGTCTTATTTTTGCCTTTAATACTCTTGATTTTTTCAGAGTCAACAATTTGAATTTTTCACTAACCACTGAGTTACCACTGCCAGGTCCCAGTTGTTCAACGGCTGGTTAGAGATCATAAACCAGTGGTTAGTAATATTTTTTCAAAAATGAATCAAACAAAATTTGAACCATTCTTTATCACAGCTGTAGGTTTGTTAAGAAGGGTCAAATTGATATATTTTGTGTTTGACGTTCTTGCTTGCTCAGTGGAAGTGGAATTTTTAACTAACATCTGGCTATCTTCAAGATTGCACAAAAGAAACACAAGTGAATAGTTTCTATTCATAATTTAGAGCCAGATACAGTAGATCCAAACAATGAATTGAACTGTGTCATACAGTTTTGTACTTCTGGGATTTGTCAGTGATGCTAAGGGCCTAAAATTTAAAGTCTAGGAGGCCACTAAGGAAAATCCAAAGTGATCAAAAGAAAAGTCAAAATCAAGATGGGGATCCAAGTAAATTTTGAACAACCCCCGGACTTGATCTCTTACGGAATCATGAAAGACTTTTTATAACAAGAACAGTGATTGGACACTGACTTACAGATTTATAGATATACAACTTTGGTTATAAATCAGTCAGAAGTTACAGAAAACTTACAAGCCAGGAAGGGATTGGACCTTTGTCTGGAAGTCCGAGCATTTCTCCAGTCTGGAAGTGAAGGGGATACATGATAAAAATGTAACAGATCAATCAAAGGTATTTCATCTGACTCACATCTTTATCTTAAATCTACATCTATGAAGGTGCGGAGGTGTGCTATGGTCTATAGGCTTTACTTTGCTAATAACAGCTTATTTACAATACCATATCACTTAAAACACTTATCACTACAAAACCTGTCCATATCATACTCCATTGCATGCAGTTTCTAAACAGTATCCTAAACTTCCTCGCTCTAAGACGATATCAATATCAACACTTGTTATATATGAGGTCTGACCTATAATCCTGTAGTTATAAGGTCCCTGTTTCATAAATCTTCCTTAATTTAAGGAATTCTCCTTAACTTAAAATTACCCATAGGAAAGTGTTGTAAAAAATAAAGAAATTTTCTTTAATTTAAATTTTTCTTTAACTTATAAAATGCTTTTCTATGGTAGTTAAGATTTCTGTAAGTTAAGAAAGATTGGTGAAACTGGTCTGGAGATCCTTCTACATATTGTGACATCCTACAAAGCCCTTTCTATTACATGTACCAGATATTGTCTCAATAAAAGGCAAAAAGGAAAACATAATTGAAGCATATCACATATTATTATCATACATCTCGTGAGTTGCTCACCTTTTCACCTGGTTGTATAGGCCTGTACTTGGCCTGGTAGCTACTCAGCTCTACACTCAGTCTGTGTACAGAACTCTTCAGCGTGTTGTTTTCTTCCTTCATGTCCTGTAGTTGCTTCTTCAGCAACAGGTTTTTAGCTGTCTCCTTGTCTGCAGTATACCAAAAGAAACAACAATGGAATTGAAATGTAACAAAATTACCTGATAATTTGAGTTCAATAGATACAAGAAGTTAAACGTTTGTCAAACTATATGGTGGTAGATTCCTATCATCTAAACATTTATCATTATAGCCTGTGAACATAATTTGTAATACAGTCATACAGATTTTGATTTGTGCACTGCTATTTTGCTTTTTAATAAAGAAATCAAATTTTGCATAATATAGATTTCCCTAGACTTATATCGACCTTGGTCTATTATCTATACACATATCAGCATATCTTATATAAAAAACATCTTTCTCGAGTATTTACTTTCTGTGGTAATTAAAACACGATCCACTGACACCTTCTGTACCAGACAATTTGTACTAGATTCTACTGTAATTGTCAGGTTTACATCCCTTATCCAGGACCCGTAATTCCTTTTCTACTAATCCTCAGGTTACCTCCCTTATGCAGAACCTCAGACACCTTCTGTACCAGACAATTTGTACTAGATTCTACAGTAATTGTCAGGTTTACATCCCTTATCCAGGACCTGTAATACCCTTTTCAGTAATCCTCAGGCTTACCTCCCTTATCCAGAGCCTCAGACACTTTCTGTAGTGAATGGACTTCTCCTTCCAGCTCCTCATTGCGTGACCTCAATAAGACATTCTCTCCCTCTATACTCCGTGTCAACTCATCTACACTTCGTGCTGTGTTAGAACCCGACATCATAGACCGATGAGACAATGAACCTGAAAATGACATTCATGTTCCTATAATTGCAATGTGTGTCACAAGAAATGGCTCGGGTAACTTAAACAATATTTCTCTAAACAGAAGGTAATGTCTAATAGAATAGCCAAATAAGGTTACATAACAATAACTCACAAATTCAAAACATCTTCAGAGGCAGAGTAACTATCATTTGCTTCGATGGAAAAATGTCTAAATTTACTTTACAAACATTGCAATACATAGAAAATTTCTTTGTGTAAATAAATTAATTTACAAAGTTATGTGACTCCATATTTAACATTAACAACAAATGAATGGATGATCTTTTAAGGAATCTGAAATTGTAAGTTATGAAAACATTTCAAAAATCAAACTTAAGCAATTTACACTTTATCAAATTTTAAATTTTCATCTTTACAAAGAAAAAATATTTTCCCACTATTTTATTTACATTCATTGTGATCTGTTGACCTCCTCATGTGCATAATATTTTATTGTTTAATATTTCATAAGTCAATGGTTGTGTAATGATAACCAATGATCAAGTGACTTGAGTAAGTAAAGAAGGATGATAAAATGTAAATTGATTTTATATCAACAAAACAATATCTAAATCAAACATCAAGTAAACATTGTGATCAAACAAATCAACAGAATTTTTTGAATGCTGGTACTTTAGTAGTCTACATTTATATTTTCAACTGGACAGATTATAAGAGAGGTGACAGGTACTACATGAACTGTAAAAAGGAACAACAGTGACAAAATGAGTGACAAACATTTTGGTTTTTATTTTCCTTAAACTTTCATGTCTTTCAATTAATCATAAATTATAAAAAAAAAATTCCTGAATTTTGAGAGGTTTCATGAAATCACAAATTACACAATTACTAAATACTCTAAAGAAGTAATATAAGGATACCGAATGAAACACAGACACCAAATTTACCGTCAAGGGGAGATAATGCAAACTACAGTACAATCAATATTCAAATAATGGAAAAAAAAAACCACCAAAGGTGTTACATGCTAAATAAAGAAATTTCAGAATTTCTTAATGTTTGGGATTTGGTAAACTATATCATTTATAATAAGCATTATTGCTGGTCAACATACATTCAGTAACCAGAAGGACCATAGTAAAACAAAATAATGTGATGATGTATGTACTGCGAATTTCAACGCAATATGAGGCAGGTCAGTTATCAATATGCTGAATCAGAAGATAGTTATGTGTTGAAGATACTACCGTGATTTGTGACACTAAAAGACAACTGTGTGCTGTAGCTGATATTGTCTTTAACATAAGTGATTTACATTAATTAAGGTCATTTACCCTTTGTATGGGGAGTGGGCCCCATTAAGGAGTCTCCTGTTTGGGCCTCCTCATTTATCAGGTGTATCCCTCGTTTGGACCCCTCTCCCCTCATTGGAGACTGGCTTTTCCTTGCCGACAGACGAGTACTTTTAATGCTGGTCTCATGGATACTATCCTCTACAGGGTCAAGGTCACAAGAGACAAAAATAGGTCAGAAGAAAACACAAAACAATATTCTGCATTTATCCTGCAATAAGTAATAACAATGGAATTCTGGCTATAAATCGGTGGGTAGGCATACTGGAGAGCAATGAAACAATATTTTATTGAAAACTCTACTGAAGACTAAGAGACGTAATTGGGCTTATTACCTGGCATGGCCTTATTGCAGATTAAATTCATTATTAAAAGAACGAAAAATTCAAAATATTACACCTGTACAGATTTCATGTGTTTTGCATTTTTTCTCAATTTACAAAAAGTTATTTTAAGAATCCCATCAAACAGGCTAAAAATGCCTTACAAGAATAATTAATTCAAACCCTGTACTATAAACTTTTGTCATTTGACAGGAACTGAGAGATAATGTACGTAGATTACAGTATAACAAGAGTTTGATGGGACTCTTACTGTGGGAGACAACAAGAGCAGCCAGAGATACTCCAACAGGTAAACTCAAAATGTCTTCTCACAATTGAAAATTAAACCACAGAACACTAGATTTAAATCAAGTGTGTAACCACTGTACTATCTGACCACCCTGAAACTCTGCATTTCAATGTACTTGTGTTATCACCAACATATATGCAAAACAGATGTAATCTGTATCAGTTGTACAGTGTATCATAATTACTCACTTTAATGTTATCAAACATCGTAAAAATCATTTCCAATATATGCAATTTTATTGATCCAATGTACTGGAATCAGGTTTTGGATATAGTCAGTATGATGTTACAAGCAGAGTTTCTACACCGTACAACACAAAAACAGGAAATAATAACGACAACATGAATCAAAATAACTATAAAATAAACGGTAATTCGTAAAATAAATACAAGGAACATACATTCAAAACATAAAATAGAAACTGCAGCTTTCCACCAACAGGTTTTCTTGAATTACTGATTTCCTGAGTGTTGTTATGTGTTAAAGATTTAGTCAGGTCAGAATGAGCTATCATGTACATTATCGTACTGATCCTAGGTAAATGAATATTCAATTGATAAGTACTGGTAGACTATTTGCTCAAAGACAATGGTCAATCCAGTTATTACAGGTGAAATAGACATTACAGTGATGTAATCACCCTAACTGAACACTCCACGTAAAGATCGACGTGACAGATCTTTCCAGAGAGAAGTTCTAGACTAAACAGTGTTCTCATTAAGTGCCAGTTGCCAGTACCTTGCTATGCATTGACTGTGAACTGAATATATTTTGAGTAAATATAAAGAATATTACTAATACTAAGCTGACTATTGTCTATACCAAGCATCTGTTTCAAATCTTAGTGAGAACACTGTTATGTCTGAGAGGAAATATCACGAACCTATTGGAAGCCAGTTCTGATTTATACTATCTATATTTTGTAAATATATATTTGCATGCAGTTCAGTGATTTTCAGATGATTGTTACTTGTGAAAAACGGCCATCCCCTCAAGCTTCAACATTAAGCCATTAAGCCTACACACAACATGGAAGTGTCAATTTTACCCTGAATGTTCTCAATCTCCAGTGGATCACCAAATTTTACACCTTGTTTTAACAGAGTTCATAAATTTAAATTAAACTAGCCAGACATGATATTTGACTCAAAATCCAGACCTATGGTAATAAATGTAACTTTTCAAATTCCAGTTATCACTGAATCAACATATCAAAACAAATTATTCATCCGTTAAACCGATATGAAATTTAATCTCGACCTTTGACCTCTGACCTTGGATCATGCATTTAATTGCATCATTCAGATCTTTTCTCTGTGATGTCATTACAAGATATTTATCCTTGACCTTAAACGGACAGTAACCTTGACTCTCATCATGTAATTTGACTGTGTCTATTAATCAAGTGACTTGTCAATTGTTTTGATCAAATTTATAATTGATCTTGACCTCTGACCTGACAACACTGTCATAAAATCCAGAGATTTCAAGTTGTATCTATATATCTTTTACTGTCTAAACCTTACAGCCTGTCTAAACCTTACAGCCAAGATTAAAAAATTATTTAAGAATTGCACATTTTGGATTTTTGACCTTTAGCTGAAACTCAGTGACCTAACTTCAGTGCACACCCAGCCACCTGATGGTGATGCAGGTGTACCTTACAATGGGAAAACACAGATATCCCTGCCCTGGGTTGTGTTACCCATAAACATAGGAACTCATATGGTGAGCATGTGAAACATGTACATGTCTCCTATTCTGTGTGGCCAACAGCTCTCTATAAGATATACAACAGTACTTGGAAGAGGTCTAACGACCAGACAATACTATGTAGGAAAATCTTGTACCTCTGAAACTGGGCTCCCGCTCGCTTCGACTGCTAGGTGGAGCTACTGATGGAGGATGTTCTATCGTTACCTTGGTAACCTAAGGAGAGAAAAGTATATAAAAATGTTTATCAAAAACATGAAGTTTATATTGATTGTGAGGCTGTTCATAGTGTTATGAAATGGTTTTGATAGGAAAATCCATTTCTATATTAAAGCTATCTCAGAAAGTTATCTTTTTTGTTACATTCAATATAATATGATTTAGAATATTTCACACAGATCTGATGGTACACTGGACTTATGTTTCAAAGTCAAGAATTTTCTTAATCATAGTCATAAGATGCTGAATTTGATCTGTCGGAAGATTAAACACAAAATCATTTATTTTTTCCTGAATCATGATGATACCCACAATGATATGGCACAATCACTACATCTACAAGGAAATCTGAACTACAGAGAAATAGACACAAACATTTTTATGTCTCCAACCAAAAATCAAAAACAATGCTAAAACTAAAAATCATCTTTTTTGAGTAACAGTTAGATATACCCCAGTACTTATATTCTCTACTTTCATACATTTTTTGTAAAAATTCAAATATAAACTGGTGAAATTTAAAGTCTGCAAATAACATCAGGTTCAATGCCCCATAAGTAAATCACTACAAGTACTTAATGATAAGGTCAGTAATGCATGACCTCTAACAGAATCACAAAACAACAACAAACTGAGAACACTAACAATACAAAACAAAAATATAAAACATGATCACAATTTTTTTTTTCCAAATTTAATGATAAAAAAAGAAGAAAAAATCAGAAAGATCCTGCCAAATAATTGTATTCTTGTTTTTTTAATTGCATTCAAAATTAAAGTTATTCAGATGTAAAACATCACAGTGTGTTCAAAAGCATGTGTTTTCACTGCAAGATGAGAGTGATAATGAAAATGTCAGCACTAATACACAACCCTGTAATACAGTACTCTTTCATTTTTGAAGGTTACAGAAAATGAAGAACGTTCAGTTCAAGAAATTGAAAATCAATGTATATTATGTAGCAAGTTTCTAAACTATAGATTTTTTAAGGAAAGAATCTAAGATCAATATTGCCTTTCTGGGTGATACAATAATTATTTCATAACTCATTCAATTTTTCTTATATTTCAATCAATCATGAATATTAAATTGGTAGTTTAATTAATATCAATATCAGAACACTATGATGCATCCTCTGAACCAGATATACAAACGAAATTCATTCATGGATCAGTAACCTTAATACAGGAATTTACACTACACAGAAATTTATTTAAAGGCATACAATATGTAATGGCTATATCCACAATTTCAACTTTACATGAAAAAAAAATTTCAAAAATTCAGCAAATTACAATTCCCCATCAAATGTAAAATCATATCCAAAGAATGCTCTGTAAATGAACCCATGCCCCAAGTAAGAAGTGTCCAGTGAGTACTAGTTAAGGAGATAGGGCCCAGAGAAAACTTTTCTTAGATTTCAGTCAAAGGTTAAAACAGAGGTCACAATGACCTTCTTTTGATACGTGACACACCATTTCACCAAGGTGAACCTATATCCTAAGTATTCAGTTCCTGTGATTAGTTGTGCAAAAGATAGAAGATAGGGGCATTTATGTATGTCAAAGGTTAAAATGTAGGTCAGATTGACATACTTTTGATATGTGACACACCATCTCACATCCCCTATAAGTTGTGTAGAAAATAGGGCCCAGACAAGATAGCAGAAGGACGGAAGGACAGACGGACATAACACAAAGTATAGTCCCCCTCAGTCCCAATAAGTGACTTAAAAGTCACATCCTAAATTTGTGTCTTGTTCGCTTCTATCCATACACACTACAATTCTAACTCTATACATAACAAATGAAACGGAGATGAGAACACATGTAACAAGCAAACCTACCCGAAATCTCCTCTGCAATTTGTGAAGAAATAAAATATCACATTCACAAATTTTATCATTGTGCTTGTATTTATCACAATAGACAGAAAACAAGTCATTCGGGCCTACACAATATACAAGTAATGTCTAACTAAAAAATACTTCTGAGCAATGCAGAACCAAACATACTTGTGCAGTCACAAAAGTGTATCAGTTACCATTTATTTGTGAAATATTCAGGCCTTCTTACAATTTTGATATTCAAATCATATTGTGTTTTATTATTTGAAAGCAAGCAAGCATGCAGTAGACTTAGTCTATGTAAATAAGTTAAATACTGAGAGCACATTCTGGCATTAAAACCACATTAGAGTTCCAGCTTAATGTTGCCTCGTTAAAACAATTTATGTACATAAAATAGATAAAAAAACCCCTGAAATTTAGGACATACTGAATATACATGTATGGAAATTTTAATTCATGCATATTCAGTTTTTAATATTTTCTAATTCCAAGCATATAAATATTTATGACGTTGATGTAGGTATATAAAATTCTCACCGTTTCCTGGGCAACGTCATCTGAATCAGAATCCATGTCTCTGACAGCCCGCATAGCCTCCCGAACCTGTTGACTGGTCTGTTGTAAAGACTGACCCTCCTCAGCTGACTGTTGTGAACCCTACACAACAAATTCAGGTATAGAGATAAACCAAAGTTAGTTGGGGTTTATACATTTCAATTTTTATGTCTTTTTTAAGTTCTAATATCACAGTCGATTTTAATGAAGCAATGATACAGAGGGTCCGCATGAATCAAAGAACGTTTTTTTTCTGAAGAATTGGTACAATAAGAATGACAATGGGATTACCTTGCTTCGTCTTGTCTTGTTTGGCATGGCGTATATATCTTTTTGTGCTTCCTGGGACTCCAGTATGTGGTACATGCGTTCTATCAACCAAAACAAACGTTATATATATATACATACAAATCATCTATAAACCCAAACTATATATAAAATAACACAACACAATCTTCCAAAAGTGTAACACACGATTCCTTTGACGCATTGCTTCCATGGAACAAATGTGAACATTTTAGAACTAATTCATAAGCTATTAAATCACAATCACTGACTACATTGTCACCTTGAAAAGATTAAATTCTTTATAAAAACTTTTTCAATCAGTTTTTGAACTGCTTTTAGTTATGGATTCATGTCAGTAAATCCTTAAGTGATATTTGTAATTACAGGTGAAACAATTCATAGAAATTTTACAATCTGATTCAATTCTCAGTATGTCTTTGCTATTTTATTATGATACAAGACAATAGAACTGAGAAGATGGACACACAAAGGTGACAATAAATGCATGTAAGAATATGGTGGGGGCACAAAAATACTTAATGTTGAATGCAATCTTGTTACCTCCTTCATCATCTACAGCATGCTCCCGGGACCCCAAGGGCGGTGTAGGGGCCTTCTCCCTGTCTGAGTAACTGATCCTCTTCCTGGCTCCACCCCGGAACTCCACTGAAGAATACCTACGATACAAACGCTCAGTGAAACAGCTATCTCTTAGTAGATGTCATTTACACCATTTCACGCATTTTCAAGCAGGTGGTTTTGAAGTGGACACTTACACAAAGGTATTTTTTTCAAAACCGCAATATTTTCGTAAACTTACCTACATTTCAATAAGAAATATTAGATCATCATGTTTAAATATTTCAAAGTGTATATATATGAAAACTAAAATCAACATCAGGACATTGGCTCATAACAATATTATGAACATATTAACTGGTCTAATAATTCAATAATCAACAACAATTTTTTTTCACAAAATCAAAGTAGAAAATAAGATTGATATGCACATTAATAAATAAGTAAAAAATAGTTCAATGTCCATCTCAACACTTTACTATTTTATTTCAGAGTCCAGACTTTTTAACTGATCATTACCCAGCTTCCTCCATCATCTGGTAGTCATACAGGCTACTCTCAGGGTCACTCAGGGGATCCTCAATCCCTGGTTGCTGCTGCTGATGCTGCTGAAGCATCTTGCCAATTAGTGACGAGTTGAGGACACCTGTTGTCATGGCGAGGCCGGGAAGAGTTCCTGGCGGGGTGGCGGGAGGTGGTGTGTGGGGTACAGCCATGAAGGCCACACTCGGCAGGAGACCTGCCGATACCGTACCCTGGGAGGAGAAAGGGGAGATAATTAAAAATGGTACATGGTATATGATGCATTACAAAAGATAGACAATCATTAACTATTTACCGAGTAAATATCTGTAATAATGAAGACATTAACTGATACAAAGAGTTCAGGTTCAATATAAATTCTTCTGATTTGATAACTATTTAATAATTTTTAAATTTTATTAGCAAATTCATTAAATTAATTATGAAATTATCAGAAAGAACCATATAACTGTACTGTAAAATAATATTTCAATGTACGGTACAATAATATTAGTGAGTATATCTAATCTAAACTTTATTATAAAATTCAGTTAGTAGACTAATTCAATTATTAGCAGACATTCTGAAACAGAAATGACAACAAAAATATTCAATATACACAAACTGAAATGACTAAAGCTTAATAAATCATGTTCCTGTGGGTTAATATTTTGTCTACAAAATAACAGAATTTATAGCGTATCATACATGTTAATAAGCTATAAACAATGCATTACCATTGTTCTTATACACAACTGAACATCTACTATATCTACTGTCTTTGTATAACTAAACCCTAACTCCTACTATCCTGATAACTTAACCCTAACTTCTACTTTCCTATATAACTTAACCTTAACTTCTACTGTCCTGATCACTAATCCCTAACTTCTACTGCCCTATATAACTAAACCTGAACTTCTACTGTCCTGATAACTTAACCCTAACTTCTACTGTCCTGATAACTTAACCCTAACTTCTACTTTCTTATATAACTTAACCTTAACTTCTACTGCCCTATATAACTAAACACTAACTTCTACTGTCCTGATAACTCAACCCTAACTTCTACTGTCCTGATAACTTAACCCTAACTTCTACTGTCCTGATAACTTAACCCTAACTTCTACTTTCTTATATAACTTAACCTTAACTTCTACTGTCCTGATAACTCAACCCTAACTCCTACTGTCCTGATAACTTAACCCTAACTTCTACTTTCTTATATAACTAATCCCTAACTTCTACTGCCCTATACAACTAAACACTAACTTCTACTGTCCTGATAACTAAACCTTAACTTCTACTGCCCTATATAACTAAACCCTAACTTCTACTGTCCTGATAACTAATCCCTAACTTCTACTGCCCTATATAACTAAACCCTAACTTCTACTGTCCTGATAACTCAACCCTAACTCCTACTGTCCTGATAACTTAACCTTAACTTCTACTGTCCTGATAACTCTACCCTAACTTCTACTTTCTTATATAACTTAACCTTAACTTCTACTGCCCTATATAACTAAACACTAACTTCTACTGTCCTGATAACTCAACCCTAACTTCTACTGTCCTGATAACTTAACCCTAACTTCTACTGTCCTGATAACTTAACCCTAACTTCTACTTTCTTATATAACTAATCCCTAACTTCTACTGCCCTATACAACTAAACCCTAACTTCTACTGTCCTGATAACTAAACCTTAACTTCTACTGCCCTATATAACTAAACCCTAACTTCTACTGTCCTGATAACTAATCCCTAACTTCTCCAGTCCTATATAACTAAACCCTAACTTCTACTGTCCTGATAACTAATCCCTAACTTCTGCTGTCCTGATAACTAATCCCTAACTTCTCCAGTCCTATATAACAAAACCCTAACTTCTAGTGTCCAGATAACTAAACCCTAACTTCTTCTTTCCTATAAAACTTAATCCTAGCTTGTACTGTCTTGATAAGTAAACTCTAGCTTCTACTGCCCAAGAGAACCTAACTATTGTTTTCTAATATAACTTATTTTGAAGTTTAAAGTTCTGTCCTATCAACCTTAATTAAGGCTTTAGTATTAGGGTACATTGTAATATCTTTTAGATAAATTATTTTTTAGTAAAAGAGTCTACAGTCCTAAAGCCTTACATCCTTTAGTCATACACTAAATTCTACCATATGTATTCTGTGCCATCTATTTACTTAAAAAAAACATATTAGTACAGTGGTAAAATTATAGATTTTTTTCTTGAACATGAGGTGAAACAAAGTAAATCTCAGCTTTCATGAACATGCATATTCAATGAGTGTTTCTCAGTCTGATTGTAAATTATAAAGCAGCATGTTGTAGAATTCACAGTTAAAGTAACGGCAGGCACACACATGCTGTTATCAATAAGTAATGAGAGTATAGGAGCCAGGGCCAAGTCAGCCATGGACTTGTTACACTTGTTATATTAGTCTCATCCAAACATACAGACAAATAGTGGATGGACTTATCAAACAGTATCACATTCCTTGAGGGAATTTCACAAATATAAATCTAGATACACGTGGCAGACGAATTAAAAGAATTGTCACATCAACTGTGAGATGCTGGAGTAATGTTGTATTACCCTATAACAGACTCTCCCTGGGTTAGATTTCCTTCTACACCGTTAGTCACTTTTTACGAACACTTTATTTTTGCGGACTTAACTCTTCAGATATATACACAAATACATTATTTCGTGAACACTGATGTAGAAATGACCTAATCGGCGAATGATGAGGTATAAGAGACATGGACTCTGCAAAACTCTGATATAGACATCCAAGTTAAAATGGATGTCATCCGCAGTTATCTTCATACAAATAACTGAGAGGGATTTGAATTTGCGATTGAGTCTCCTCACGTATTAACGCAATAAAAAATCTCACGCAAAATATAAGTGATGCACAGTATCTGACGTGGTATTATTGTCAATAGTTAGTTATGTTGATATTTAAACAATATTTCATTTTAACGTGCACCATAACTAACAGAATTAAGATCAGAGTAATACCACAACAACTTATCCGTGTAAAAAACCAGTATGATTCATAAAAAAAGTAATGTACCCTTGGTAATGAAAAAAATATATATACACACCATACAGAGAATACCAGGTAGTGTTTTTGAGAAAAATGCAGTGACCTTAGAAAGTGCAACATCTAAAAATATTCAGGAGTTTGAAGTATTAAAAAATCATTGATTGTTATGATAATAATATATATGTAAGAAGTTTTTAAAAAAATCCTAAGATACTGACACAATGAATACATATAGACTATCACTTAACATCCACACAATAATAAAACAAAATGTTGATGAGGAAAGAGACTCTGAGACTTTATGAAAAATATCAAAGTACAAAGAAAGTAGTTTCCTTAAACAACTAACCCTAGCCACAGGTGACTTTCGGACTATTGGGTCTGAAGATTTCAAGAATTTCAACAATTTGTTTTTAGGGTTTCTGTCCCCTAGTCCTCAGTGCAGGGAGAGGAATATTCTGTATGGGTCATAATTAAGTTTCATTTCTCCAAGACCCCAAACCGGTACAGCCAAGTTTTGATCGTAACAAAACGTTACTGAATATTGAGAAAGTAAACAAACAAATGTTATTCTACTATATAAACAAGTTTACTTTAGTGACCATTTCCTAGCTGTAGCTCAAGAAAATGGGTAAATTATTTAGATGAATGTACATAAGGCTGTCCTCTCTCTAACCATGGAGACTCTGATCTATGGTCTTCTAGAGTTTCTCTCGGAATATTTATATTTCTCAATGTTTCATTTTCATAACTCATTTTCATTTCACCATTTCAAGCTGAAAATAAAATTTGACTGAGAATGGTGCTATACTTTTGAAAAAAGTTTTAAAATGATAATCTTCTGCATTGATATAAAATGCTTGTTGACAAAGCTGTGAATCCGGTGACCTCAAAAGACCAATACAAGGACAACAAAAACAAGAGAAATTTTAAAAGTATAGGATTTAGCTTTGTGTATATGTTAAGTCAGCAGGTCTATACTACAACGTTTTAACACATTGACCTGAGTCGTCAAGTTGTAGGATCTTAATCTGGCCGACATAATTAACCACAGATTAATTCTACCTCCATGTCTCATTATACTGGTCAGCTAAATACAACTGTCCTTTTAAATGACCGGTATCTTTATCTCTTCATGTAGAGTATTATCAGAAAATATGGCTGAATATAAATCAATTGAAATCTATATAACATTCACAAAATATTGGAAAAGAATTTAATATATTAAGGAACAACTGGTTTTTTTCTTTTTAATCAGAATTAAAGCTAACAAAGCTTTGATCAGATATGTGTGTATTACAACTTATCGAATATTTGACATGGAATCGGGTCACCAGAACATGTTTGGTTGACTTGTTACATACGTTTTACAACCACAATTGGCGATTTACATCTAGTGCCTGTGGATAGCTGCCAGAAGTGTCTATAGTGTTACACGACAGCCCTGTCTACTACAACGAATAGTACAGCCAAATATTTTATCCTTATCATCCTTATCATATATCAACACACATCACCCAGAATGGATTTACAAAAAATACTACAAATCACAATAATTCAATGAACATGTCTTCAAGAATGATGTCAAAATTATGCAGGGATATTATACCATACTTGTACAGCTATATAGTTGGTATAGATAGACCCTATCAGAAGCCTTCAAATACAGAATTGTCAACATGATAGGATGCTTCAAATACAGAAATGTCAACATGATAGGATGCTTCAAATACAGAAATGTCAACATGATAGGATGCTTCAGATACAGAAATGTCAACATGATAGGATGCTTTAGATACAGAAATGTCAACATGATAGGATGCTTCAAATACAGAAATGTCAACATGATAGAATGCTTCAAATACAGAAATGTCAACATGATAGGATGCTTCAAATACAGAAATGTCAACATGATAGGATGCTTCAAATACAGAAATGTCAACATGATAGGATGCTTCAAATACAGAAATGTCAACATGATAGGATGCTTCAAATACAGAAATGTCAACATGATAGGATGCTTTAGATACAGAAATGTCAACATGATAGGATGCTTTAGATACAGAAATGTCAACATGCTCGGATGCTTTAGATACAGAAATGTCAACATGATAGGATGCTTCAAATACAGAAATGTCAACATGATAGGATGCTTCAAATACAGAAATGTCAACATGATAGGATGCTTCAAATACAGAAATGTCAACATGATAGGATGCTTCAAATACAGAAATGTCAACATGATAGGATGCTTTAGATACAGAAATGTCAACATGATAGGATGCTTTAGATACAGAAATGTCAACATGATAGGATGCTTTAGATACAGAAATGTCAACATGATAGGATGCTTCAAATACAGAAATGTCAACATGCTCGGATGCTTCAAATGCACAAATATCAACATGATGATGTACAGGATGGAAACATGAATCAGGTATATTATAAACAGGATTGAAACAAGAAATGAATGGCTGATGAAGAGGAATGCAAACAGGATGAAGATTAAGAAGTTTCATGGACTTTCAATACTAAACTTTCTAAAACACATAGGTTGGCTATACAAACAAAGATATGAGACACCATGAAAAGAACCAACACGTTTACTGTAAAGCAAAGTACATATCACACACAGTATCAGGAAGGTGATCAACCTTTTCTGACACACCCAACAAAATGCAGCCAGAATCTTCCCAACTAGACAACACTCAAATATTCTTCTCTTTTAAACACTTTCTTTGTCAAAAACAATAATATCTAGAATTACAAAGAGTGACAAGTACACCAATGTTAAAGGGATATTTGTGGGAACGTGAATTTTGAGGAGACAGATTTTAGAATAACACATCAGAATGACATTTAACAAGGTTTTTTTTTTTTTTTGTTTTTTTTTTTTAATAAATTTGAAACTGGTGATTACCAGAGTCCTACCAACATGTTTTATCATTTCAATCTCTTAAGTCCCTTTAACGATTATTAAATTAACTAAAGTTTAAAGAAGTAAGGTTGTTACAACACCATTAAAGAGAAAACATAGTCACTTAATAATGTATAGAATCAGGGGAGGGTAAACATCCAAGAGTTTAAATAAAAAATCACAGACAGTCCTACAATCTATTACTGACCTGATCATCGGCCATCTGTAAGACATCAACAACAATACAACAAACAACAATATATTATGATTAATCAATAAGTACTGTTTTACAGATACATGTATAACTGCAAAATCTACTACTACACTGCCAAGGCATCCAAGATAATGACACAAATCTCCAAACAGATTGCATATGTGGTTCAGTTGACACCTGTTCTCAGAGAAGCAGAACACAATGTTACCATGTTAACTGACAGGTCTATTCAATGCCCTGAAAGATTTTTGGGATATTTTCAACACTTTAATGGCAAAGACTGGCTGTAACAGTTATAGAAATTTAAACTGCAACAGGGAAGAAACTATAGAGATTCAAGCTTAAGTCAAAAACATATAGATAAGACATTCTGGTTACATATATATATACATATATATCATACCTCTGCTGCGAAATTCAGTTCCACAGCGACTGATCATGATTCGACAATGATAAAGAAAGATATATGTAGATAGAGGAGAGGATGCAGCATGCAGGACTCCCATGCTGTTTTAGCAGGTAAATGTATTCAGCATTATCTCTAAGAGAATGCAGACATACTTGCACCATTCAGGTTAGTTAGCACAATGAACCTGATATACTGCTCACGATCATCATCAACTCATGAGCCAACAGAAAACATCTCACCTTGTTGAGTTTGGGTGAATTTTGTGAACTCAAACATCCAACCTGAGAACAAATGTCACATTAATAATGTAGAGAATACTCTTCAGATACAGAAATGCCTGTCCAACATCTACAGAGCATGTTAAAACCTATTTCTAAGTATACAATAAAAATTCAGCTGTATATCTTAGGGTGAGATCCCCTCAGCAATCGAAAATTTTACTCCATCTGCCATCGTTCAACCTGTTTGACTGAATGTGTCACATGACGTTGTTGACAGCTGGTGGCAATGTTGTTGTTTCTTTCTCAATGTTCTCCCTATGTACAGTGTGTATACAAACATACCCGTCTAAGTAAAATTTTCTTAAATGGATCTATCTAAAGCGAATATTCCATGATAAAAGTATTTATGAATATGATTTTAGAATGATACTACACGAGAGAGCCAAGCAGAAGGCGAAACAGAGTATGAAGCAGCCATCTTCCTTCTCTTCGCCTCAGAGTCCGTCATAACACGTTTTCTTCCTCGCTTCCCTCGTACGCTTTCTGCCATGTTGGAAGACGGCAAATTTATTTATAGTTCTTTGCACATGCGTCAGAGGGCAAGACTTACCGCATCATTATGAATTAGCACTGAGTCGTTTCAAAATTCTTTTTTAAAACATTTGGTTGCGTTAGATCGGTAGCGATTTACTTTAAAATTGCGGTATTACAGGGTTAGTCAGAACTTCTGCTACCCGAGAAAAATAGAAAATCATGAATTTTTCTTTTATGTAAAATAATATCGGTCGAGGAGTGGATCTGGCTCTTTAATATATAAATACACAGACTAAGATCCAGCATTGAACAAACATTCAAAATACAAAATAAATTTAGGAAACATATCAACTAAAATTGATTTATAAGTGACCAAAACAATTTTTTGCATCCTTGCCATGTGTTGTGTTTCTTAATAAAACATGTGAGAGGGCACAATTCATTTTACAGCATATTGCTAAAATTGCAAATCCAATATCTACACAAACACTGCAGAAAATGGAACAATCCACAAAACCTGTATTTGGTGAAATCACAATTTAGCATGAAGCTTTTAGCATGGAAGCACGAAAAACCTTATCATCCTGAGAATGTTTTTCATGTTTTAATGTAGTATTATTTTCCTATCTAATCTCTGCTGTTTTTATGTATTTTTAGCTTGTTACTGTACTAATTATTTCAATACAACTTAATGAATGTTCACAATGCCTTGTACAAAATGATATAACTTCTTTCCTGATTCGTAGACCAAACTGCTTCAATGACATGGAAGTCTTACGACTTGAAAAAAATCTTCTAACCTTGAATTAATTCCAACGGATGGTTTAGATTTTGCTGATATACATACATGTATTGGGCAGTTTTTACTTGATGGAAGTAACTTTACATGTATTGACAGGTTCTGTAAGGTACTGATGAATATGCACTAGTTACAATATTCTTTTTAATGGAAATTTTAATGAATACTCACTTAAATCAGGTTTTTTAAAAAATTCTTTGCATCATGAAAATATTAGATTGTCTTATATAACTTTGTATTTCATAACACAAAATTTTAATTACAGTCATAATGATAAATCTACATGTGCTGCCTGTGTCCTGTAGAATGTTGATGGGACTCGTAGAATTTCAGGAAAAACTTAAATTTTACATCATGGGACATCCTGTCTTTAACAATTCAGTTGAAAAAGACTCCTAGTAAAATGGTAAATTGATTTCAGCATTCATAGGACTATAAACCTAATATTTGACATAAGACCATCATAAGAAATTATTAGTAAAGGATGTATGGCTTTTTCTGGAACAATGTCAGCACCTGAATGATGTACAACCTTCAAATCTCAAACATTAAGGAAATAGACTATAAGGACTGAATGGCGATGAATTTGTCCACACAGGATTGGTATATGTACCTAGACAACTAATTGATTGAGATACAAATTACACCATGTTTCATGATAAGGTATTTATCATAAGTAGGTTTACGTGATGTTGGTTAGTGCGAACATGACAAGTATATGAACGTAACATTGTTATCAAACAAGTTAGTGAGTTAATACAAATGTTAAACACAAAGATTTGTAAACGTCATTTTCACATCATGTTGCATTATAATTGGAGTTCTGTAAGATAAAGGGAGTCAAATGACATCTGGGACATTCAGGGTTAGAATGGTCTCACTGAAAAATGTATGACCTTTGGGAGATTGGCAAAGGAATTATATAGTCCAAAGAGCTTGTAATATTCAGAGAAATTGCAAAGGCCCAACCTCTAGGCTGGGAGTTTTCACAAAGTTTTGAAAGGTCATGGAAAGTACAAATTATTTTTGTGATATGCTAAGATTGGAAAAGAAATTTAGGTTTGAGAGAAAATTAAAAACTCTAAGATTTATTTATGTAAAGTATGGAAAAATAGTAATAAAAAGAAAAATATTAAGGAATTGCGAAGGAAAGTTCTGTATAATGATATTAATGAATCCCAAGAAGGCTAGAAAGTACTACTAAGCATAGTCCATGATGATGGTGAAAATTGTAACGGATTAATAACAGACAGTGGTCTTACATTCTAAGAAAGGGATATACACCAGTACTTAAAATATCTATGATTATGGAAAATGTTGATGTTTTTTTCTGATTTGGCAACAAGTCTGGTTAGTCCCTGTAAATAATAAATAAATATTAATATATTTTTAAGTAATATAAACTACTGTTAATTAATTGAAAAAAATAGCATTAATGTTAGAACGAAGCTGGAACCTAATACATTTTGTACGGCTTCATACACAAATGTGTAAGTTAGGTTACAGCTTACAGCACTATTCTTATTAAATATTGTAAGCGGTTACAACTAAAACTATAGAAACAACTGTTTCAGCTTTCAAATAGAAAGCAAACCATAAGCAAACCTTTTTTTCGAATGTGATTCCAAGACCAGTTTGGGATTGTTGTCTTTCCTAGTAAAAGCAAACTACTCAGTCAGCACATAGAAAGCGGTAACATGACGGTAACAACACAAGAAACAATTACAAAACCAGGGCTCTTTTTTTTTCTTTTTGCAGAATTTGGGGCAGAATATGGGTCTCATTGCCAACAGTAAAAGCTCGATATATTCTTCTGAATCTAGATATTGGAAATCTCAAAAAATCTGTATGGTGTAGTCCCATATATAATTTGTTGATGGTCATCCCTCGGTTATTTATTTTGTTCACTGAAAGACCGAAAGGCTGTCGAAGTGGACATAAAACCCAGTAAACAAATAAATATATTAACTAATCAACAAATAAGCCCTGGTTTCAGATGTCATGGATTTGTGGCAGGATTGACTTTTAACATAATGTGAATTGCATAATTCCCAGGTTCGATTCCTAGAGGAGGCATTAAAATAAATAATGACCACTGTTACATTGGCGCCAATGTAGGGACCTGGAAATAGTACTCAGCCATGCCCCACCAGCATCGCTGTGACCCCTGCACACTCGAGGATAAGCTATTTCCTGGATGTGGAGTATGTAACCTTTGTTAAAATACTAGCCGCAATATACCCCTCGGTTAGAGAGAACTTGTCTTTGGCTCAATTGGTTGAGCGTCATACTAGTAAGCCAGGGGTCCCGTGTTCGATTGCTAGCGGAGGCATTGAAACAAATAATGACCTCTGTAATAGTTTGGTATTGGCTGTAGCAAGGGCTGAGAGGGGAGTGATAAACCTATAGATGTTTTCCCCAATTGGAGATTTTGTCACTTTTTCCACCAATTCAGAGCCGATGAGACCCTTTCAAAGAGTTGCAAAAAGAGAAAAACCCTGGTCAAATAAATGTATAAAAAGTAGACACATATATGTACAAATATAATCAATGTTTGTAAAGTATCCTCATCAAATCAGCAAGTTTCTCTTAAAGCTATTTAAAATGAAATTTAGCCACATATTGGACCAAATTGCAATGTATATCAACTTGAAATGGTACATTTAACATTAATCCTAGTGTGCTTTTGACTGGTTGTGTTACATTTCTGTCAAATCAAGACATACAGACATCGTATGTTATTAATATGTTGTTTCAGAAAGATCTTTTTTTTTCATTATTTTCACATGCCTACTACAGAATAACAACTCTCGATCATACCATCCGAGAGGAGGTATCCATGTCTATAGGTGTTTCAGCAAGTTTAATCATGATTTTTCCATACAAATCGTGTTGTAATATCGGAACTTTTCAATAATAAATGCACACCATTGATTAAGGAGATTGATCTGAAAGAACCATCTGTCATTTAAACAAGGGAGACCAGCCATGTTGCTGTCAGTGAAGAGACATGCTACGGCATGCCGAGAGGAGTGCCTCCGAGAACTTAAAATTTGTTTAACTTCCCTGCACGAAATAAATAACATGCATTGGCATATGTACCAGGGAAAGATGTATTCGACATGTATGCATGACTCTTTGTGTAAATACTGGTTAAAACTTACCATGTCCCGCACATTTTTCTTTTTCTTCCCCCGCTTCCCGGCCATTTCGAATCGTGCACGGCCACTGTAAACAGTCAGGAATGCGCAGGCTTCATTAGCAACGAGGCTGTGCAGGGATTTCCCACCACTTCCGGATTCCCCACTCGACATTAAAGAAAACCAACGGGCAAATCGGGACGGGCCTGCAAATGAGCGAGGCTCGTCAGAAACATCATTTGACACTTTTATATATAATTCTAAATAAAGTCAAATGCATATTCAGAAGAGTTGTATAACACGAATGGTCTCTGGTATTCATTCATCGTTTTCAACAGTTGCATTTCGTCAGAGACGTATATACGTCTCTGATTTTGTGGATAAATTGTTTTCTATAAGAAATTTAATTAGAAATGTATCAAAGTTACAAATTATACATATAACCCAATTTTTTCCCCAGAATTATCCCCGCAAAAAGATATATTGGCTAGATTTTCAAATTCATGTAAAAATTGATTTTATTTCTTAATGAAGAATGTGTGCTCATTATAGCTTTGGTACCAACTTACCAATCCCCCTATATAAAAATAAAATCAAAATCATGAGAAAAAACATGTTTTCTTGCTTTCAATCTACCAAGAAGTCCGGAACTCCGATCTCAAAATCAGCATTTTATCAAATGCTTTTGCATTGCATGCTTAATGCGTTTCCACGCCTGCTTACGTCAGGCCTCTTCTGGCTTTCGGTCTCTCCAAATATTCGTTCTGTTGCTGGGCTTCGTCGCAAGCGGGTGTACGTATTTACTGTTGTCAAATAGAAACTGGGTAGATTGTCGATGGTGCAGTAGTGATATTGTGTATTTTTCGTATGCGCATGTGGGACTGTTTTCCTTGACTCTGTAGGATTTCGCGTCGATGCATTAAAACGAAAATAACTTTGTCCCGAGTTTCATCTCCTCAAGTCGTCACACCGACATGTAAATTAACAAGGAAGTTGTATAATCTTGCAACAAATTAAACCGAATATTGAAAATTATATACATGAACAATGAATAACCTTAAATCTGCCTTCATGAGCAATGTGAATGCCAACCGTGAAATTCAATTTGAAGATTTATTATTTATTATGATGGTTGTCAGAAAAATAGCTAGTGGGAACGAGGTTTATGTTTCCCATCAAAGAGCTTAAGTGACAGAGCTTTAATTTGGAAATATTTAAAGTATCAAACACAATAGGCATGTATGACATTGGTGGGCTTTCCGATCCAGAGCGTTACAGACCTTATGGGCCTCTTGTTTTTGTACACATTCTATAAAGCCTGATGCTTTCTACTACCTGTGACATAATAAATTAAACGATAGAGTGACTGATTTTTTTCTTCTTGTTTTGTATTCTAATGAGCCAAAGACTGGTTCCTGAAATAATGTTGAGCCAAGACTTGTATGCATTGTAATTGTTATCAGTAAACTGTTAAGGATTCAAGGCTTCCAGGATGATGGATTCTGACCAGTTGCATTTCTGAGTAATCATTTATCAGAGGGGAACTATATGGTCTTTGGCCTTTTACATAAAGTGTAAAGGGAGGTACGTGTGTGGCACAAAGTATGGGCACTACTGAATTTGACTTCCAAAAAAGATGCAGAACATTTTAAAGTAAAAGAACACGCAGTATAGAATTATTATATGCCCTCTCCATAATATTTTGGAATAGAATACCTCCTACATACTATTCTAATGACTTTCATAAATGTATCTCTTTCCTAATATTTCAGATAATTGTTCTCCATATACTATTCTGATAACCGGATACTTTAGGATGAGGGATACAAATATGATATGACACCGGGTGTCCATGTTACGTATTATTTTGATATTGTGATATCTCATCTGTGATGTATGATAGGGTGTCCCAGATATTATGTGCTATTTTGATATTGTGATATATCATCTGATATTATGTGTTATTTTGATATTATGATATCTCATCTGGAACGTAAGATCGGGCGTTCCTGATATCATGCGTTATTGTGATATCTCATCTGTGACGTGTGGTAGGGCGTCCATGATATTATGTGTTATTTTGATATTGTGATATATCATCTGGGACGTATGATAGGGCGTCCATGATATTATGTGTTCTTTTGATATTGTTTGATATCATCTGTGACGTATGATAGGGCGTCCATGATATCATGTGTTCTTTTGATATTGTCAGATATCATGTGGGACGTATGATAGGGCGTTCCTGGTATCATTGTGTTATTTTTATTTAATATTGTTAAATATATCAATATCAGTTCAATTTTGAACATCACTTGATTTAACTTTATAGAAATGATCGAACCTCTTTATGTAAATTTAGAACCCCAAATCAAAAAAATTCCTTAGGGACATGAAGATGGAATAAAGTTCTATATAATTAATATTGCACAAATGTACCATTGGATTGTGTATCTTCCATTATTAATGCTGTACATCTTCTGTTTTTACGACCTCTAGTTGCACGAGGTTTCTTGAGTGAAGGAATAAAATCTTGAGCCAACACTCATGATTCGCCTATTTGAAATAACCATTATATTATAAATACACTAGTACAAACAAATTAATATTAACTAGAGATCGAAGACGGATTGTAGCAGATTGATACATCATTCTGGGTTATAAATTACATATTTCAGTCTTAAACGAAAGAAAGTCGCATGCCAAATATCACAGTTTCAAAGATCGAGTTTAAGTGATCTGAACCGCTTATGTTTTAAAGTAACCTTTTTCTACATCAAACTTTATAAAACATGTATATTATACACAACAGTATACAACTCTATATTTTCTTCCATGACACGTATATCATGAATGCCACAAAGCGCGATTCGTGTTCAGATACTTGAAAATCACGTGCACGGCGCGTTGTGACGTTGCCTTATAGACACCTTGTATGTGCATACAAAAAACTGTTCAAATAGAAGAATTGAACCACCAAAATACGTAATTTGAACAAGTGACATACATGTTTACATACATTTTATTTATTAATTTTAAGTTTCGTTTAAGCCATAAAAGCAAATTTGGTGGTTTAAACCAGAATTTTTGACGCACTTTATTTGGTAATTATTTCACAACAGTGTGAATGCGCGACACTGGTAAGCGTATGAAATTTAGTCACGTGATCACATTGACGAATGAAAATCGTAATAAAAAAGCGTTTTCGCGGGAGAGTGTGCACCGTCATTCAGAAGATAATGACTGACCGTGTCAGAGGCGTAAGTAAATGCCTTACTGTTTTATATCCGATGCCAAGTAAAACTATAGGTATTTAGTATCGTGTACATGTACCGACTTTTAATTGTTAATGCTGACATGTTACCTTTTTATTGAAAATATAAGTTGAACTGAAGTTAATTATTCTTGGGAGAATCTGGTTACAGGCAGATTCATACAGATAAAAGTCGGATACTCCGATAAAAATCACGGGCTTTATAACTCAGTTCCATAAAAGAGTAAACAGAAAGTTGAAAAATCGATTTCATGTAATTTTTTTTTAAAAATAAACATTTTTTTACCCCCCCCCCCCCCCCCCCCCGTTTTGTACATGCATCATGACAATAAATGGTAATAAGTGTAGAGGGGTTTAATGTGAATTCAGAAGGCAACGGAGAAGGCAAACTATGGTACAGAATGTGGCTGACATTAGTGATGATGATTTCTAAAGTGAACAGTGTAAGCTTATACTATCGGCATTGTTTAATCAATTGATAATTATAAATATCCATGATTATTTATGTTCACATAAATAAAATATGTCTCTATCCTACTGCCCCCCCTCTCTAAGTATATATCCAAATGTTTTATCTTGATGATAGAAAATTGTAAAATTTCTATTGGGCAAAGGCAACATACTAATTTGAAAACTTGTGCCCGATCCTATTTTGTACATCGATCCTAATGAAATGTGTTTATATCAAATGTGATCACATACACCACTTCACGACACACCTATTAATAAAATAGACTCTACCCTAAACCAGGCAACTGACTTTGAGATTACCTATGTAAGTGAAATGTACTGAAATTCCTACAATACATGTATGCTACCGTAGGGCTTAGGATCCACGGACAATATACGTGGCACAATGCGTGCCAAAATGTACTCAAGCGGGCCCTTGTTTTCCCTAGTTTTCCTTGTTTTTGTACTTCAGCCCTTATATTCCTAATTAAAGCTCCAAAATCCTAAAAAAGCCCTTCACTTTTGGTGAAAATCCTAATTTTTTAGATATTTAAATTTTCATAATCCATATTAATACTTTTCGAATTCATGAAATCTACCCTTGGTTGCTTTCAGTCCTTTGATAAAGTGTAAAGCTTAGAAGACATGTTGGTGGTTATCACGTGGGGTATTCCGCACTGTCTCAAGCCATGCCCATGCCGGTCTACCTTAATATGGTATATCATAGCTATAGATATTCTGATTGTATCCCAATGAAAACTGAGGGATATCAGATATGCTCTTTGTCTTGTATAAAAAATAGAAGCATATTGTTCTTTGCTATGCTCATAGTACACCATTTGTGATTGTTAGTCATTCATCATCAAAATAAAGGGAGATATATAAACCTGTTTATGTATGGGTTTTTTCATAAGCAGGAGATGATGATCATCTATTAGATGAAAAGTTAGATAAAAAGGAGAATTATTGAATTGTGTACTTATATTTTTGAATTGTTTTTGTTAAGTTGTCTTAAAAAGAACCAGACGTTTTTTATATTGTTGTTACACTTACCTATATACAAGCTACTATTGCATTCTTAGTTTAATTGTCATGTGTTTAAGGGAGTGTTTTGAATGAGTGAAAAACACGTTTTTTAATGGTTATTGAGCATAATTATTTTGAAGCAGGATCTACATGTAAATATTGACTGCCCGGTTTGGAATGCATATAAAATAACTGTAGGTTTATTGATGATGTAATTTTGATTGCCATTTGATTCCATGCTTTGTTCTTATTTGTTGTAAGACAATATTCAACTGCTGTTTATTTGATGCAGCCAATGGTCCATATGTGCATCCATTATATGTGTACTTTGCATTTGGTATGTGTTAATCCAAGGAAAATTGTTATCCTTTTATATGCAATAAAGGTTTTTCTTTTTTTTTTTCCAGCTTGAATTGGAATGCTG